ACAGAAATGCCTCGTTTTCATGGTGACCTTTGACCCTGTGGGCAAGTACGCTTGTTGTTAAAACTTGCACCATTAATTAGTTTATATATGATGATCAGATGTTCCAAATATCAGCTTGGTGTCTTTATCCCTTCATGTTTAAAAAGCGATTTGAAAAGGGGTATATTTTTCAATTTGGGACGGTATCAGTGCGTAAATGTGATAAAATAAATTTTTGAATAACGATAATATTAAAAATAATCTGCCTAGACCCTTGAAACTTATAATTCTAAAACAACTTTATGTGCTTATTTCAGGCATGCAGTTCATTAAGGGATATAGTGTTTCATTAGTAAGATATGTACAGTACCCCCAAAAATGGCCCAAGTGCAAGAATTGCGCAATAAAATTGTATTTACTGTTGATTTCAAATGAGCATAATATTATCCGTGTACTGTCTAGAGCCGTGAAACCTTTCATTCTTGGCCAACTTTTTGTGCTGATTTCAGTTATACAGTCTGTTAAAGGGATAAATTGTTTAATTACTAAGATATTATGCCCCAAAAATGGCCCAAGTGCAAGAATTGTGCAATAATATTGTGTTACGATTGATTTCAAATGAGCATAATATTATCTGTGAACGGTCTAGAGGCATGAAACCTTTCATTCTAAGACAACTTTTTGTGCTGATTACAGTTATGCAGTTCGTTAAAGTTAGGGTCTTTACAAACCAATATTTTCGTAACGTGGTCCGGTATACCAAAAGTCATGTTATATTCCTGTTCTACAGCCAAAAGTTAGTCTAGATATCAATTTTCAGTTAATTATCTTTATTCTATTTGAAGATATGGCTAATTGAAAATGCAACTTTACAAATATATCATAATTGATAGCTAAAAAGGGGTATGACCCTAAAATTTCAAATGGCCGTAACTTCTAAACGACTTGGAATTGGCAAGTCAAATTTTGAGTTTGTTCATCAGACATGTTGGTGCACATTATATCCGAGTTTCAAGAAAATCTGATACAGTACCCAGCCATCCCATTTGTTGAGTTGGCACGGAATGACCCATATATTGCAATAAATAATAATCATTTTAAATTATTTTTAATAGGAAAATTATAATATGTTAATATGCTATGTTATATGTTAGACATTAATTAATTAGATTGAAATATTGTAGCTGCCTCTCGTCAATATTGATGGTGAAATTAAGCCTGACATACAAAGGTAAGAAAAATAAACTTTAAAAAAATTGTATTAGTTATTCAGTATGTGTAAATAATATACTTTTTTTTCTAACTGAAAACAGACAGCATTTCAATATTAGATGAAAATGCTCAAACCCAGGTCTTATCTGTCAAGTCTAAGATAGAAGATGCGACTGCCCGACTTACTAATGGTGATGTAATTGTAGAGGAGCTCCGTGTTCTTTTGAGGCATAAAGAACACTTTTTGGCACTTTGTGAGGTGATTGATGTCCCACAAATAACAAGATTGTGTTTACGAATGAAAAATGTTATTGGCCCTAGAGATATTGTTTCGAAAATACTTGAGTGTCGAGAAACAGAGTTAACATCATTTGAAGATGTGCGTTATCGTGTAGGAATTTTGTTAGACGTTTGTAGCAGCTTACATCACGGTGAGTTCTTAGTCATTTTGAATAATACTAATAAGTTAACATTGGACTTTTTACGTTCAAATTACCAGATGATCAAAATAGACAATATTATTTATTCCTACTAAAAAATATATGTATTCCAATTTTACTGTTGGAAGCCCTATGGAACATCAAGTGAATAATTTTAATATCTGTTCATTATATCATTATCTCTTGCAATCATTTTGTAATCAGTCATTATTATTATGGTTGTTTTCTGTGAAATATGTACCAGATTCCATTGCATACAGTTTAACCTTTTTCATTCATGTCTGAATCACCCTCAGTGGTACTATTTTAAAGTCTTAGCTATAAAAAACCATCCATAATGGCTATGATTTTTTAAAATTTGGTTTAGAGATTGACAGTTGGTTGAATAAATATATATGTGTTCCCACAATCTTCTTCAGACAGAGTGACAAAATGATATATTATATAGAGTAACCTATTGGATAAATTTGTCTTTTTAATGAGTAATGCTTATAGTACAACTGAGGAAAAAACAGCATCCAACTTCAGTGTGCATGCACAAGTTGTATAGTTCACGCATGATTATACACACACAGTAAACAGTGACAAAGTGCAATAGCAATATGTCACATGTATAAGTATTTTTTTATGCACACTTTTCATGTCAGGATCCATTAATTAATTAATTGTCATCTCTACACATCAAAATATTAATGAAATATGTAAGCAAAATTATAATAATAATTATATTTAATACACAACCAATCTTCTTCTTTTGTCACTCCAAGCTGCTGTCTGCTGTGAAAAACTGACTGCCCCTATTGATGATTGCTATAGTGCTACATATATATATATTTTTAGATAAAAACAGGAAAAACTTTATATGCTATATGCGATCATCAGGTGCTTGATGAGAAGAGTGGAGTGGTATGAGTATATATAGGTTTACTTGGCCAGGTGGTGTGAAATACTTTACTTAACAGCATGGTTAAGCAAGAACTTGTTTTCGTGTCCCGTTCTTGAAACTTAGGAAGTGCAATCCTCAACCGAAGTTTTTCCTGTTTTTATCTAATAATATTACTAGCTCTATCTATTTATTTATATATATTGAGCACTATATTGGCCTACATTGGTTATATTAATTAATAGTATATATATATATATATTTGATTTGATTTTTTAATTTAATAAGACCATCAAGGCAGTGGAAGAAGGGTAAAGGCAGTGGATGTCACATATATTGAGAAAGCATTGGAAACAAATATGAGTTGCCGGAAGATATCTGATTTGTGTGATCCAATACAAGCTCAAGTGGTGATCATTAGCCCAAAGAGTGTCACTCCAGTCATTACCTTTTTCAAGTTGTCTCCTGCTGTTTCTGACATGCTTGTAGAAATTGAAAAAATTCATGAAAGTCGACTATTTCAAGAATTTTGGAGAAAGAAAGGTACTAAGGTTCTTGAGAAGCATACAGAGGGCTCCTTGATGACCTTACAGGAGGTAGAGTCACAGGTGTGGAGGTTTGTGAAAGAGGAATGGGATAAATTTAGGGGACAGCTAACAACTGGCCTCATAACCTTACTTGCTGTCAAGAACAAACTCGGAGAAATCAAGGATGACCTCTTGGAGAAAGAACTTGGTGTCTTTAAGACCAAAAATGCCCCCAATGACTGGATTGGGAAATGTTGTAAACAAGTGCGCCTCTATCGTCAACTTGGTAGAAGTTTAGAAAGTGCCAAGATTATTCTTAAGATTAAGAATGCATTTGATCTGACAGGCAACTTCAAACCCGTAGAGCTTCTGTGTTCAACAGTAAGTATCTTCTTTCATGACATACTGTACCTTCGTAAATACATTATATATTATGTATTTTAATAGGCTATGTGTTATAATATAAAATATAATATCAAAACGTACATTTTACATTGAACTTGATTATTGTAGTGTAAATGGAAAAAAGAGTGAACTATTAATAAATAAATACCTTATCTAAAAGGATGAATTATATTATGAATTGAAATAATAAATTTTTCTTATGGACGTTTTAATAGGCCTAAATATAGGACTATATGCAAAATATGTATAAATGTTATTACTTTTGCATCTGGTTAAATGGCTAGAATAATATTTTTTGCACAAATTTTCATTGACAGCTGATAATTTACTTAAATTTAAAAGGAAAACAACATAAACAGTATCTCTTCTTTTGACAATCATTATTATCGGATTCACGTTGTTTACTTGTGTTATATATCATTTGAATCCATTTAGAGCGAGATAGAATTTGAAAAAAATTGCCTAAAAGACTTGAATACAGATGTTGCAACAGCCTGTAAGGAATTGGAAGGTGTCACTGAGGACCAGAAAAAATGTTTACATACACTGATGAAATGTAAAGACCTGATTATTTGGATTAAAAAGGAAATCAAAAGTAAGTATGGTTATTGCTAGTAGGTGGTAATTTTTAGATAAGAAAATTGAGAGGAAACAAATATTGAAGTAAAGATTTCTCTTTCTGGAAAACCACAGGAAACATGAAGTAGCTTCTCTATGACAATTGAAATTGCAATGGTCATTGTGATAGAGATTCTGCTGTATTTATCGTTGGCAATGAAATTTACGATCTTGATAGTGTGGATTTCATGTTTCAGCAGTTGAACATGGTAAAGCCTATTACCCCAAGCTTATCTGCAATGCTAACAAAAAATTATATTTATTAATGTTTCACTGATAGATATGCAGGAGTTGAAGGTGTTTGTGGATCTTGCAATGATCCAAGCTGGTGAAACTGACATTGAAGTTGGCAGAGTCTCCTGCCTTCACCAAGCTGCTACAGGCTATGCTGCCTTTATTTTTGATCTAACTGAAGACTCAGACTACACCTACCTTATGCGTATCTGCAACCATACTTGGACAGCTTTGCAAAATGATCCTGAGTTATCAACAAAACTTGTAAGTTTTCATATCTTTAACATTCCTATGTGAGTATGATTAAACAAATTTATACAAATGAAAGCAAAGTTACTGATCTTCACTGGCACTTTTGATGAACATTTCAGAAATACCATTATCACAGCGAAGTGTTCAAGTAGCAGTTTGCACACCATAGGTGATGGTCATTTAGCAATAGTGTTAGTTCGTTTTGGATGTTTCTTTTCTGTTGTTTAATTTTCATTTTATTCTTTTGTTCTTTTAAATTTCTCATTTTTACTTATTTAGGTGTACTCACAGTGTATGTAAAGTATTCTATGCAAGCACTCTGTCTGGGTCACCTCTATTATGAATCTATTGTAAGCACTACAGTCTGTGCCCATTTCACTCTGAAAATTATGTTAGTGAAATTAGCATTTGTTCATTGAAAGAGAAGTTTTCCCGTTTTATATAATTTAAGAGCTAATTTAGCATACTCAGTAATTCCCATTATTTAAATTACAATTGCGTGTTTGTTTTATCGATGCTCTAAACTAAATTTGTGATGACAAGGCAGGTGCATCACTCCATTTAAGCTTAGCAACAGGCCTATATAAACAACTCTCTTATAATTATTAATAAAATTTGTAGAAATTAAGCATAGTACAGCACAAATAAAACTACAAAGAAACAAAATTATGTAGAATAAATTGAAAACTTTAAAATAAATGAAAGGTCAAAGGCCAAGCAGAAAGGCTAAACACTCCAGGTTCTAAAACTTTTAAAACATATATATAACAAGGTAGAACATCAGATATAATTATTCTGTTTATTTTATTTCTTATGTAGGAGGATATTCATCGTCACATGGAATGGTTGAAAGGTGTCAAAGATTCACATGGGTCTGTGGAAGTGACTTCATTACGCCAAGTGGAGAGAATTAATGCTGGAGGGATTTATGAAATTGGCAAATTAGAAGAGGTACAGTTGATATTACATATAAACATGTGTAGTGTAGACCAGTGATTTGTAAACTTTTAGATCTACCTAACATTTAAAATATTCAATCCTGTCCCACCCATCAACTGCTTATACCAGACAGATGGATACCCTATTCCAAAGTCATGAAAACGGACAATTTTTAGTATCGGAATATTCCACATTGTGAAATATATTGCGTGCATTTCTGTTTTAATATTTTGATTAAATAAATTAGTTGTCAAATTTTGGCAATTAGAATTACAATTTTAAACGCATCAAACATTTTTGGGAAAATTGGGCATAAACTATATTTTATGATTGTCTTTATTAAATATTATTTGGCTTCTGGCATGTGGGACACAAAAAGGAAATGCTGTCTTTAAAGCCAGGCTTCGGAGGTCAGGTTTTATGGTCGAGTCATAAGAAAACTGCACATCTTTTAGTAAGGAAGAGAAAATATGTCTTTTTATATATCTTTTGTTGATATTCACTACTTTTTTGTTGATATTCACTAGGATTACTGTTGATTATATTTTGTTTTTTTCTCCAGCACACATTAATACTTCGTGTTCCTGTGGAAGATGATGAAGAGAAGATTTACACAGTTGAACAACTTAAAGATCTTCAGAGTAAGCTGATGTTGGTTGCTGGGAAGGCTCACCAAACCACTGATGCCAAGTCTCAAGTTGATCGCTTTGTGGAGGTTAGTTCGATTGTGTTAAAAGCATGTGTTGTGATTAAGGGATTGTAAAGATATTTTAAAGAAAATATTTGACTTCTGAAGCCAATAAAATTGTTTTTATCGATTGAAATATCAAATGTTGCAATTAATGGATGTTAATTTTTTGTAGTCATATTTACCTAGATTTATGCCCACTTTTGCGATGAACTTGATCTACAACTAGCTAATTCTAACTGTAATGATATGCATTTAAATCCAAATAATTATGTGTATAATTTGTTATATTGTACTGTATTCACACAGCAGCAAGAGATATGATGGGTTGTGTTAAAAAATAAAAATGTAAAGATGACAAAGTGATTGCATAGATCTCAATTGAAAGACATATGTTATGCTTAAAACTAAATGAAACAAACATTGTCACTTGATTGTACAATAATTTGTCAAAAAAATAATAATAGGAATATAGGAACTCAATGATCAAATGTAAAAAGAAATTGATGAAACAAATGCAAATGAACTAGCTAAAGTCATAAATACAACAAATGCCTCTCGTAAAATGTTTGAAGCAGTTGAACAAATGTTACACTTTATGTAATTGATCAAGATGTTAACATGGTTTTCTCAGACCAACGTATAGTAGAAATAATGAGAGACTGGTTTCAGAATCATTTAGGAGTATTGGTGTTGCTTTAGCCGGTGCATTAGTTCAAATGCATGCTATCTGCAATCCATTTGGAATGAATCCACATATGGCATATAATTTTATAGCATTAGAATGTGAGTATGCAGACGACATGATTTAATAGATGAAGACAAAAGCAAATTATATAAAATGTCTCATTAACCCAAAAAAAAAATGAATTTACTCATGTATATATTGACAAGACAAATGAACCTACTGTAAGTACGACGAATGGGGTAAACATAAATTGCTAGGATAAATGCTTGATAGAATTTCTGATGCCCCCATTTAAAGATTTTACGTACGGTAGCATTCAGTAATTAAATGAAAACATGGAACAAGAACATATATCTACATTTTAAATTAAGACTTCCTAACACACTTATTTTTCTGGTTCTATTGTATAATTTGATTAGTTGGGTGCAGCCTGTTGGTCGAAGAAAGATGATGAATTCCACAGAAAAATCCTAAAAGAATAATTCTAAAAAATGTTTTGGTCTCAAAATGCAGTAATGTAAATTAAAATAAATTAACTGACACAACCCGACTGTTTAGAATAATTGTAAAATAATGTTGAATGATTTAAGATGTCAATGAAAACACACCAGCATTTATTGTCATGTCACTTGCTGTAGGTAATTTAAAATGTATGAAGGTTGTGCTGGCAGACCACAGAGTAACTTATTAAGTCAATTACAGGTGGTGAGGAAAAAGACAACTCTGCTTTAATAGTTTATGAGGATTTCATGAATGTTAAAGAAATTGCTAACAATAAGGTGTCATGGGTAAATCTATTCTGAATTTTTGTATTTCCTCCTGATCTATATAGTCTCACTCTTGCACTACCAACACAATTTCTGATTTTTGTATGGCAACAAGAATTATTGGGAGGCATCAATTGAATTAAATTTCATTATCTTCCTTTTTCTTTTTTTTTTTTTTTCAGGTGTTTGATGGCGCTCAAGATCTGGAAATGTATTATAAAAAAATGTGCACGTCTGGAAATGTGCTTTTCACAGACTTGAATATTAAACTTATTTGTGACAAAAGCTACAAGGTACCAGTCCATGTAGATTTCTGTGTTGTTGAACAGAAACCACTGTTCGGTAGGAAAGAACTCACTGAAATATTAAAAGAGCTCCTCAACTTTATGGATGCAAGTTTGAAGCAATGGTATGATTACATTGACGATAAGCGAGAAGAGTTTTACTTCTTAAATGTTTATACTACTAAACAGCTTGTTATTTTGCGACGTGCTCTTGCAAATTTTGGTGAGGAAGATGTCAGTCCAGAAGTGTATGCTCTTTTAAGTCTTGTCAAACCAGACTGTACTGTACAGGATTTAAGAAAAGCTGTTGCAATGGTTAAAAAAGAAAAGGAAATTGAATCAAACGATGATGAGATTTATTTTAGAGAAAGTGGGCAAATTGAAGATGTCCTTTCAGATGAAGAAAAGGATCGTCTGGTTGCCTTCTGGGATGAGTTGGATGGCATGTTAGATGAGGAACAAGCAATGGCAGTGCTGGAAGACAAGGGAATAATTGATGTGGAAGATGCAGTGACATTCATGACTGACTCTCCATACTCTAAAAAAACTTTGGAAGACCTAGTGGGGGGGTTTTACAGTAGGGTTGGCTGTGCTCTATCGGAACTAAGGCAGCAAAACCATGATAATGAGGAAGCAGACAGAGAAGAGCAAATAGGAAATGTTGTTAGAGATGAAGAAGAAGAGCAGCTGGTACCAATCAGTATTCAAAACCTTGGACATGGAACTGAGAGTGTGAGAAATGAACTTCTAGAAGGGATGAAAAACTTCAAAGGGTAAATCTTTATATTTAATATTAAAGTACTCTCTTCCCATTTCATAATATTCCTGCGATATAAATGTGATAATAATAATTCTGTTTCTTGTGCAATGAACAGTAAAATCCCATGTACAACCTACTTTGATTCCTAATAACATAGTCATCAAACAAAATCAATCATAAATTTATTCCAATATATTAAAACATAAAATTCTTAACTAAGTATCCTAAAGTAGGTTAGAGTTTTAGGTAGAAAAAATTTTTAGAAATATGTTACCTTCAGTGTTCCAGTTGGTCTTACTTCACATTGTTCACTCATTTGCATAAATTTAGTAGTTGAAGAGGGAATATATTTATTCGCCATTGACACATTATCACTTCTAATTTTCTCCTAGGACTCTTATCGAAAAACTGAACCATCTCTGGAAGAATTATTTGAGTTCAACAAAATCTGCTGATCTTTCTGACTATGTCAGTGTTGAAACGCTAGGAAGACTTTTGAAACATCTTGCTCCTGGTATGTGATTTTAATTGAAATTATATTTATTTTGTAGCATTTATAAACAGTTTTTGGACAAATAAAACTCACAAACAACTGGCAAATCTAAGTAAAGTGTGATACATGCTGTAAAAATGTACTACTAAATTGACAAATAGAAGTGGGATGAACTCACAAAAGAAAGAAAAACAATGGCAAAGCTGAATACAGATTGATTATTATTATTTTTTTTTGTTTCAGTTTGATGTCTTAGTATTTTTTTTTTTACATTTCAGATTGTCAAGCTACTGTTAGGTGTTTTCCTCAATTGCTTACAAGAGGGCGTCCTAACCTCATTTTGTGCCCAGCTAGTAAGTAATATTTTGTCACTTTTACTCAGGAGTTGTACAATGTTGATATAACTATTCATATTGCTTCATCTCTTTTTCAGTTTTTTTTATATAAGTTTGTCTCACTGTTCTGAATATTAATTGGTAAACTGACTCATGTGAGAGGAATGGTGAATTCCACCATAACATTGTAGTCAGTTTCAAAAATGGAGAGGCACTCTTGTTCTGAGTCTAGAGCTCCAGTTTTGTTTGTGGGTTCATAAATTTGTCAATTCAATTTTATGTTGTATTGCAGGAGATGTACTGCATACTGTGCTGTCAGTCTACATGGAAGGCAATGGAAGTTTGCCAGCCTATGATGAGGTTTTGCTGTGCAACGCAAAAACTTCTCTTGAAGAGGTTAGAATCAATGTGAAGAGCTGGAGCTTGGTCTTGTGATGCCCCATGTATAGTGCTATGGTGGCCATGCAGAGGTTTAGCTAGGGAATAATTTAGTTCTAAATTTGCTGCTGTGACAGTCAAAAGGCCCATAGTGGGGGTTAGAAGAGAGGGGTGGTAAAGTTGGAAAATTACTTATAATCTCAGTGTCATTGAGCTGAATTGTGTATGGCATTGTCTTTGACTAATGTAGCTGTTGTAGATTGGTCCTTAGTAGCTTCATGGTTACATAATTTTATAATGACAGGGGCGAAAATTAACCTCTGCATCGGGGTAACCTGGAAAATAGTTCCATGTCCCATAACAAAATAAGCAGATTAGGTGCAACTTTTTTGGCAGAAACATGTCAATTGCTTCTGATAAGTACTTTTGTTAGTTTTCAGCTGAGTGGCTTCATTAAGTTTGCGCACAAACAGTGCAGATTTGTTCTTTCCAAAGTAAAGAAAAATCATTATTGCTTTGTGATGTAAAATTCACAATTAAAAACATGTCCATAATCTTATTTTTATTATCAATAATGAATGCAAAATAGAACATTTTAAGAATCAGGAAGAAGAATAGGAAAGAAAATGAAAACAGCTGAAATTATTATATTAATTGTAGTTCTAAATATTTATATAGTGCCAATTCCAAATGAATAATTAAAGGCACTGAGCGTTATTTACCTTGTGTCACTGGATAAAATACAATGGCAAACCAGTACAAAGTGCAACCTTCTCTCCTCCCTGGGGGAGTGTACCTAGTTGTGGGTTTGTACTCGGTGCAGGAAACTAGTACAATTAGTGCCACAGTTTCGAACCCCTGATCTCAAAGTTAGGAGTCCAAGCCACAACCGATGTGCTAACCACTTTATTCGAAAATATATAATGAATAATCAATATGTCATTATCTAAGTTCCGTTTTCGTAATAAATTTTGGGCACTAATCATCAGAAGTCAAGGTGGCAAGCTTCTTACATTTTATAATTTAACATCAAATGAAGATTTTCTGTTTCCAAAAATTGTTGTGTAAAAATAAATATAATAAAATCAGTAATTTTCAATTGAAATTGTAACATTTTAATTAGATATCATTGCTCACAAGCAAAATAATCCTTGCCAGGTTGTGTTGTTGTGGCGACGAGCATTGAACGGTACAAATGTGAAGACGTATTGCCTTGTGAATGCTGATGCCTTGGATTATGATGTCAGTGTTGATGCTGTCAAAAAACTTCACCAGATTATGAAAGGGAGGTCTGGTAAGCAAATTGTACTTGTATTGTTGTTTTCTTCCCTGTTGTCATCACGGTAAATATGTAATATTAATAAAAAATATTATATACATTTCTGTTTTGTTTTAATATTTTAGATTACCAACTTGTCATTGTTTGTAACCGAGAAAGAGAAGACCAGTCGCGGATAGTCACAGCTTTAAATTCTGACCGCATCTCTTCTGATAAACCAACTTGCAGAAAATGGCACGACATCCAAGAATACCTGTGTATGCAATTTACACAGCAAGTTCAACTGACCAATGGGAGGTTGCAACCAGCTGCCACACTAACCAATCAAAAGTTAGATCCTTAAATTTATTCAACAATATGTTACATACTGACCTATCTTGAACAATTTCTCCTAGCTAACTCTTTGCGAATATGAATACGATCAACTTTATTGCAATTTGCATAAAACATGAAATTGATGTTTATGAATCTTTACATGCAATCTTGCATGTGGGAAACTTTTAGAATTTTCATTTAACCTATTTCAATTTTACAGAACGTGTGTGCAAGCTATTTCTTCCAAAAGACCAGGTGTTGGGAAATCACTGCTTATTCAAAGGTACAAGGAACAACTTCAGAGAGATGTCAGGCGCCCAGACTGCTGCATCACTGTTCCTTTGCAGACAACAACTGTCCAAGAGCATGACATTGCAAAGACACTTATCAGTCGTATACAGGAAATGAATCGCCGCTTTCCACGAATTATTCACCTAGATGTTTCACCAAATGTGTGTAGCAAGTTTGTTTAATTAGCATCTTGGTGGTAAAAGTTAATTGGGAAATGTTCTGGTTTCACTGAATTATTCTTATGACTTTAGAACCTGGTGTACCATATGTACCATAAACACTTAATTTTGATGACATTTTATGATTTTGTTAAATATGTTTGAAACTTCTTTTTTGTCATTTCTTTGACAGTTTGTCAATATCTTGCATTATATTATTTAATGCACATTAAATCAAATTTTTTGTCTAAGGTAGCTACTCCCCTTTTTTAATATTACAGTTATTACACATTTAGTTTTCTCACATTTCACATTTTTAATTGTTATTTTTTTTAGGTATGTAGCGGGTTAGATCACCTTCTATTCAACCTTCTCATTCTAAACACAATTTGCTGCCCCGATGGATCTGTGTGGCGTAGGCATTTCTATGACCTTTATTTAATAGAAGTCACCCATGCTAATGAAGTCAAGGTTGAAGACACTATGGTTGGTTCAAATGCTAGTTTCATTTATTTCCAACAAATATATTGCCTAGCACAACTTAAACATTCTAGATGAATATGAACTAAGATGATGAATATAACTAAGCAAATAGAACTTCTTAAAATTATGTAAATTATTGGTCCTATAGTTGGATACTAAGAAATTTGAGCAGAGTCTTGGGAACTTGTGATGAGCCGCAGTATAGCTATTTAATATTTAAAAATCAAGAAATGTGATTTTTTTTTTGTATTATTAGTTTTTTTATGTCAGTTCTTAAAGGATTAGCTAAGTTTATATACAAGCAAACTGAATAGATTTGTGATTTGGTATGATTTGGCCTGACTAATGACAACAATTGATAAATGTCACATAAGTATAAATGCCATATGCAAGTAAGGATCACTAATGTTACTTGACATTTCAGAGTGAGGGAAGATCCAGCAAAGACACTTTTTTTGAGAGCCTTCCAACAGTTTTGTGTCGACCACCAAAAGAGACACATAGAAAAGAATTTGAAAAATCTCAACAGCAATTACCAGGTAATGAATATGTATATCATGCCATTTCTTTGGTTTTAAGTGCAGGTATAATTTGACTATAACTCTGCTGTCGGCATAGTAATATTTTAATTACTATTTTGTACACTGCGAGAGGTAATGCTAATCTGTAGGTGTGGAGACTATAATACCACTCAACCTCTTTTTGAGGCATAGCACGGTCTGAAGAAGCTAGGTTTTAAACCTCACTAGCATTCTTGCTAGTCAGCTTGGGCCTAGCCAAGCCTCTCCTAGAAATCAGTATCCCTAGCTGTGGCCGTGGGCGTTCCTGAGCCGTAGGACAATTGCCTCCTAGAAGGCTGCACCTGAATTCCGAGCTAATTACATTTCAGCGTACACAGGTTTCTGACTCTTCCTCATATGACTGACCCGTTTGCCAGGCCTATACCTCCACTGAGGTCAGTTTACCCTGTGTATATCTTCAAGAGCGAAATTTTGTCACAGCGATGGTGGGGCCTTTAATCAAATAAACATGAATATATATACCCTTACATGCAAATCAGCTTCCTTATTCGTTTAAAATTTTGATTAAAATCTTGATAAATGTGCTCTTATTGTAGCATGTACTGTTCTCTATACATTAATTATCTATATCATTTGGTTCTTATAACAAGATGAATACTTTTCTATTTGTCAGAAGGGTTTCATGACCCCTTGATGGATGTCCTAGAGTTCAGAAGTCCAAAGTTTCAGCGACCCTACCAGTACCTTGCAAGACTTGACCAAGAAATCCTTCTAGATGCCTTCACCTTCAATAGACGTAAATTACATGGAAATCATGTTGATTGCTTGGCAACTCTACTAAGGTAAAGAAGCTGAAGTATTAAAGTACAGTAGATCTGCTGTGACTGGTTGTCGTAGAACCTGAGGAAGAAGGCATTCCTCTAGTTTTTACTGTCATAATTGCACATTTTATTATCATAAAGAAAAAATAGACGCAGTATTGGCAGACCTGTTGCCAAATTCAACTTGTTTCTCTAAACCTACCCCTTAAAAAGCCAACAAACAGATAAGCGAATGGAAATTTTTTATTAATTAAAGTTTGGGTCAAGTAAAAATGATACCGTAGGCTATTAGCTTATTCACCATGTCTACAATTGGGATATTAAATCTGGGGTATTCCCATACCTACAAAATTTAACGTGCACACTACAATACTCAAGCACAAGTTATGTTTATTTTTTTACCTACAGGCATTGTGGCCTTCCAGATCCTTCATGGTCAGAGTTGTCTCATTTTGCTTGTTTCCTCAATAAGCAGTTAGAAGCCTGCGAGGGCTCTGTCTTCTGCGACTTGGCTATGCTGGCTGACACTGGATTGGATGGATTTAAAACATTTGTTGTCAAATTCATGTTGCAGATGTCAAAGGTCTGAGTTCTTTCATCTAATTGTTCATACTAAAATTTTTACTTGAAGCCAACTAGCTAGTCACAACATACTAACCGGCTCTACATATTCATGGCAGTAATATTTCTATGTTTATAAGTGGTCATTTGTGTTATTATTAACCAGTGCCAAAACCCAATCACAGACAACACAAAATATAATTATTTGAAATATAATTATTTCTCCCTTTTCAGGATTTTGCTACTCCCTCACTACAAATGAGTGATGAAAGTTTTCGAATAGCTGATGACCAAGAAGATGAAGATATTTTAATCCAACTACGCAGACGTTGGGAAACCAGGTAAGGACATAACTTATAACTAATGATAATCTATGGATAAACTGACAGTTGCTAAATATTTCCTATAATTATACTAACTGATGGAATTAAAATAATCATCCTTCTCAAGTAGCATTTAACATCTCCAACCTTCCTTTAATACAGCGCCATAAATGTTTTTGCATACTAGTTGATATATTCATTCATTCATTTCATTCAATATATTTTGCCAAGAACTTCAAAATCAGTAAGGACAAGACTGTGCAGGATAAACAAATAGCAAACTTATTTTCTGTGAAAAGTTTTTTCCTCTGACAATAATAATATTTTTTTTGTAATTTTAATGTGTTTAATGATTAAAGAATTGATTTGATTTAAATTTGTTTCATTTTTTAGCCCACATCCGTATATCTTCTTCAACCGTGACCACCAGACAATGACATTCATGGGGTTCAGTATCGATCGTAATGGGACGCTCTTTGATGTAGATGGTCGTGTGCTGCAACAAAATGTGATGACGAAGAGCCTAATGAGAGGGCTTGACCTTCAAAGGGTCAATCTGGCAGAAGATTTTGATTCTTTGCCAAGGTAAGTTCAAGTAAACAGTCATGGTTTTGTTAAATGATTTCAAAGTCCTGAAATTTCTTTGAAAATTTGTATACCATTACAATGGTTATAGAAATATTGTATAATTATTGATGGTTGTTGATAACAATTTTAATCCACAAGGGATGAGAAGCTGCGGAAGTTGTGCATGGTGATGGGAATCGAGAATGTCAGTAATCCCGACGACACATACGAGTTGACAACAGATAATGTTAAGAAGATTTTGGCTATCCACATGCGATTTAGGTAACATATTTTTCCTTTTGATTTTTCAGTTTTTCTTTCATTAAGCAATGGAATGAATTCTGGAAAGTCAAAGACTTATTTTCAGTGGAGGCTTTCTGGTAGTGAATTTGGGCAGTACGCTGGAAGACACTCCCTTTTAGTTTTCTGTACAGTCTGCATACTTAAACATGCACATGTGCCATGTTGCACATAGGACCAAGAGATTAAAAATGTCGTCTGAATTGCACTGTTGAAACTTGCACTTCAGCCTTTTTATCTAAGTGGAGTTTTAGTTGTAAAAAATACTGGTGTTGTACATTATTTAAATCAGATATCTTGCATGGCATCTTTGCAATTGTGATTAGTGACACAGACTGTGACAAGACAGTCTTTATTTACTTTATGATTTTTATTACTTTCTATTTATTTCGTAGGTGTGGCATCCCTGTGATTGTGATGGGTGAAACAGGCTGTGGCAAGACGCGTCTCATTCGCTTCATGTGTCAGTTACAGTCTAATGGACTGGTGGCAGACCAACCCGTAAACAACATGATTCTTATGAAGGTTAGAATGTTGTTTTCTCAAATCAAATTTGACTTAACAATAAATCATTAAAATTTTAAAGTTGGCAAAAATCCACTTAAAAAAATGTTAACTTTTAATATTCAGCACACAATTCTGTTTGTAGAGATAAAAACTGAAAAAGTTTTTTTCCCCTACAAGGTACATGGAGGTACATCTTCTGAGTATATTGTTCAACGTGTACGCAGAGCAGAAGGACTTGCAAAGGCAAACAAAGCACAGTATAACATTGATACAGTTTTGTTTTTTGATGAAGCAAACACAACTGAAGCAATTGGAATCATTAAGGAGATTATGTGTGATGGTCGCATGAATGGCCGGCAGATTGACTTCGATGGCAGTGGCCTAAAGATAGTTGCAGCCTGCAACCCTTATAAAAGGTATCTTAAACAGTCTTAGGCTATGATATCTGTTATGGTAGCAGAAAGTGTGGGTTGCTTGACTATAGTACTTATAATTCCAATCTACATAATCATTAAAATTATTAAATGTCATTAGTTTTTGTAACTTAACCTCTCTACAGTAATATACCTCCTCATTCTCTTTCCGCTTTGAGCAAAACATAGCACAACAGGACAGACAGTTGTTGGTTTTTTACTATTAAGATGCAAGATTTTTGCATGTTTGTACAGAAAACAGTGATACATAAGTACAACATTTAGTTTTTAAACTCATATATACGAATGTTTGTCTAAACATGGTGTCAATTAAATTTAATGATCTTTGATTGATTTTATTATTATATTGTATATTGTTGCTACGGGTATTTCCATATTCTTCAAGTAATACTATATTATTATAATTGATTGAAGCTACATACGCATTGTATTTCAGCCAATAACAAAAATATGGACCCAATAATGTTGTATTTCCAACACATTTAAATAAATTTAAAGTGTGTCTTTTGATTTACAGTATTGTTAATATTATGTTGAAAGTAATTATTTTTATGTATGAAAACAAATGTGTTTTTATTTCACAAATTAGACATACCGACGAAATGATAGGAAGGCTAGAAGCAGCAGGTCTTGGTTACCACATCAAAGCAAGTGAAACCAAAGACAGACTTGGTAAGGTTTTAAGACTAGAATTAAAGGCAATCCCTAGTTTTATCTGAATTGTGTTCTGCTAAATCCATAATGCACACGGGATGAACGGTTTACGCAAAAGGTGGTGCGCTATTGTAATATGAATTTCTGCCATCCGGCTTTAATTTATCTTTTGTTTTCTTGAGGTAATTTCTAGCATGTGTATTGCATTTAATGATTATTATTTCCTAATTTGTTTAGGTCGCATTCCTCTACGTCAACTAGTGTACCGTGTACAAGCTTTACCCCCAAGCATGCTGCCTCTGGTGTGGGACTTCGGTCAGCTGAATAGTACTGTGGAGACTATGTACATTAGTCAGATCGTTCAACGTTTTGTGAGTTGGCACATTTTGAATAAAATTAAGACAGTACTTTGCTTCCTTTGTTTTCCAACAAATAATTATAACAAGAGCACTCAGTAGAGAGCATATCTCAGCCCACCGCCAAAATTTTCTATTAAAAATTTCTCAAAAATATGTACTTTCCAACCACAATCTACTTTAAAAAAATTAAACCAACACAAAAGTTTCATTTAGATGAGTTGTTTAGTTGTTGAGATATCTGATTTGCGACGTTTTGCTTTGAATGGTCCATAGTTGACACCAAAATGTAATTCACCTTTCGACTGCCTTTTATTGCATCAGTTGTACACCTGCCGATTCCTGACTATTCTGACTTAACTTACTGGCAAGTTTTAATCTTATAGCTGACAAACAAAATACATGCAATGTATTGTTGTTGTCACCAAAATTTAATCACCTCATCCTTATGTCATGCCTAACAATCCCTGCTGTAGCTGGCATTTAAACCTGTGCACCTGTTTTTGAGATATTTTGAACACGAGAAACATGCAGGACCATAAACAATTAAATGACCCTCAAGTTCACTCCTGAATTTTGATCAAGACTTACACTTGACAATTTCTTCCTTGTAACTTGTAAACCAATAATAATATTAATATATCTATTTGTGAATAAACTCTGTAGGTTTATTTTCCTATTATCTTTCTCCTTTTTTATATACTATCCATTTATTATTTTTACTGATATATACTTTACTTTCAAAAGCTGATAGAAAATGATTGTTTTTTTTTTTTTTCCAGGTAACCAATGGACAGATCTATGCAACCCCTCGGCAGGTTAAAGTTGTGAGTGAGGTTTTATCCACTGCCCAAGCATTCATGAGGGAACAGAAGGTTTGTTAATAAAAGCATGCTGCCAATATACATTGTAATTCCCAGTCCAGACTATCAAATTTCATTTGGCAAAAACATGTGCCATGCCTAAATACTGTATGTTCATGATGACATCACATCATGAACATTTATATGCACATCATGGGCATATAATACTTTTTTGATAATTTGGACGGAGCTTTATATTAACAGTAATACAGTACAAACAGTAATAATGTTCATGTTCAGTCATGATCATGATAATATCACAAACGCAAAGATGATAGCTTTTCTGGGTGAACCGACTATTGTCCACTGTTCCTTTAAGAGCACTCCTACGGCAAAAAATAGCATCATCCAGCGCATGACTGCATTTACGCTCAAACTTCATCCTTTGTCATCATTGAAACATTGACGACCACACCTACATGATCTCTGTTTAATATGCAAGAGAGAAATATATTTATCCTATAAATTTAATTCTTAGAAGCTTTTCTTTGTTTATACTTAGAATGAGTGCAGCTTTGTAAGCTTACGAGACGTTGAGAGAACTCTTAATGTGATGGTCTGGTTCTTCAACAAACGACGTTTATTGCAACCTTTGATTGAAAAAGAGCTTGAGAATGCAAAGGACATAGTAGAGAAAGAAATGGACAGTGAAGAAGAATATAAGTCAGAAGATGTTACTCCTTGTGATGAAATGGATATGGTAATATATTGTAGTCCTTAAATTACAGATTGTATTTCTGTGGTTTTTTTTTGTAATAAAATTATTGTGATATTTTTGTGATTTTTTATTATTGTTTTATTGTTGTCAAATTATTTTTATGAATCTTATCTTTGACAAAAAGTTTGAGTACAGACACAGAGTAGCGGAAGAACAGGACAGTGAAGAAGAATATGAATATGAATCAGAAGAGGATATTCCTTGTGATGAAATGGAAATGGTAATATATTGTAGTATATAAAAAAATATACATATATACTGTATATATGTATATTTTTTAAAATTTACTCTAGTGTTTATTGTTATCAAAAAGTTATTATAATTCTTATCCTTATTTATAATTTTTTTATTAATTTGCCTGTAGCAAATGGAAAGAAAGCTAATGCATTTTATACACTTTACTACATTTCAAAATATCTGTAATTTTTTAACAGGTAATTGATGACCTTACTTGGGCATTAGTCCTTGCCCTTGGTGTGTGCTACCATGCATGTCTAGATGAGAAACGAGAATACTTCAGAGACGCGGTAGCAGAAAGTTTCAGTGCCCCACTGAACCTATATGGAGGGAGTGAAAGGATTTACAGAGAAATAAACAGGTAAGTTTAATTAAGATCAATTTTTGGAATCTTCCCTCAGTCTTTGAAAATATTTATCTTTCAAATATTTTCTTTTCTTTGTTTCTTAATAAATATAAAAAATATATACATTTATATAGAATATGAAGCACGTAAACAACACAAGTCAAATTAGGTTAGAAATGTGGTCAGACTAGTATACACAATTTCATAATTTAAAAATTAGACACATTAAACATACCTGTACATGTTTACCTTCCATTTGGCTAAGATCTGTTACTATGGTAATCATGAAATTTTTGTATTTTTCTTCCTATAGCTGTCAAGATATCTTTTTAGATAACATTCAATTGGGACCAAATATTGCTCGCAACTTGGCCCTTAAGGAGAATATTTTCATGATGATCATCTGCATTGAGTTGAGGATTCCATTGTTTTTGGTCGGAAAGCCTGGAAGCTCAAAGTCTTTAGCTAAGACTATTGTGGCTGATGCCATGCAAGGAGACTCTGCAGCATCTGACCTCTTCAAAGAACTCAAGCAGGTATGACCACAAAATCACAAATAAAAAAATTAATCATAAATAGACAGCCCTTAATGCATATCTCAATGAACCCATATGAGGCATGTCTTGGCAAAATGGTTAAGTTGTCGCACAGGCCACTATTGAGTAAATGAGTTATTAAATCATTTTTGGTCAAAAAATTGCCTAAAAATCCTAAATTTTTTTCACTATAGATCAACAGTTATTATTAATCATGTTCCAAAGTATTAGTTCTGGAAGTGGTCAACAAATTGTTTATTTAACGTTATTTAGATGGTTAATTCTATTAAACAATGTATGCACAAATAACTTTGGAAGGCAATTACTCAAAATCATGTTTATCTTGAATCTAAGAGTGCTGTACATTCACTTTCCAATAGCTTGGGCCTGAAATGTCCAATTTCAATGAATGACCCCTCATTTTAAAGATCAGATACTCAGGTATCTGAAAATACCAATAACTTGAATTTCAATTTTTGCTACAACTTAGCCATTTTGCCACAACATGCCTCATATGGCATCTGACCTCTTCAAAAAACTCAAGCATGTATGATCACAAAATCATAAACAAAACTAATAAATCATAAAACGACATGCCTGAATGAACCAATATGCCAAGTTTCCTTTCAATAGAATACTTACCATGAAAATTCTTTTTTCAAAGGTTTATCATAAAAAGGAAACTTATTCTTGATAAGAGCCTTCTATATACCACATTTTATTTCAATTTTAATATAAAATCTCCAACAGGCTTTTCTATTAGCCTTGAGCCTGAGAAATCTTCCCTTCCTCCTCTTAATTTCTTGTACTTTATAATTGCCTGTAGATGCTATAATCTAGTATTTTCTCATTATTTTCATTTTAGGTGCATATGATTTCCTACCAGTGCAGTCCATTGTCAACACCAGATGGAATTGTTGGAACTTTTCGTCAATGCAGCAGATTTCAAGAAAGCAAAGATCTGAACAAGTTTGTGTCAGTTGTTGTTCTGGATGAAGTTGGTCTTGCAGAAGACTCACCAAGAATGCCACTTAAGGTACTTGGAATAGAAAATTATGATGTTTTTTTTTTGCCCAAACTCAATCATCTTACCCACTATATTCCTCTTTGCCATCTACGTTCTTCATCTAGAAATGTCTTGACAGTTCCGTCTCGTATTAAGGCAAAACAAAAGCTTATGGTCAATGTGCCTTTTCTTTTCAAGCCCCCTATACATGGAATTCCTTGCCACTTTCAGTTCGTGATTCGTCTAATTTGGTTTTTTTAAGACAAATTTTAAAACCTATTTATTTCTTCCCCTAGTGCCTTTAAATAATTTTAAATTGGCATTATATGAATATTTGTTATTATATAAAAAATGTGATTATGCAATTGAAGTATGCTTACATTTTAAAGGACATAGTTTGTGATTAAAGTCTATTTTTTGAGTACTTACCTGGATGAACACAAATCATAAAAAAATGTTAGGTATGCCCTAGACTCTAGCTTATAGGCTATAGTACTTTGATTGAAGTAGGTAGCAAGACAGTAGGTTGCTAATTTGCATGATAGATGTCACACTCTCAGCCATTTAATGATTATTGTATGAGTTAGAAATACTGACAAAAGTTGATGGTGATCTCATGTCAAAGGGGTGGCATGGAGAAGGTTGCACATTTTCCATGACTGCCTATGAATCTAGTGACCAATATGAATTCTTGCATTAGATACTCTTCATACTTGCAGACTTCATACTTTTAATGTTTTGTTCTCAGACTCTTCACCCATTGCTTGAGTATGGTTCTGAAGAAGATGACAATCCACCGGCTCATAAAAAAGTTGCTTTTATAGGCATCTCAAACTGGGCGCTTGACCCTGCCAAGATGAATCGAGGGATTTTAGTTTCTCGAGGTGTTCCCAATGAAGAAGAACTCATTGAAAGTGCTAAGTGAGTATCTACTTCATGTTTATTAGATTAGTGTGGACATAAGATAACACATTTTATCAGGTTATGAGAGAGAAACTGTAATGAAATTGCAACCAGACATTTTAATAATTTAATCTTGTGTACCTTAGGGGCATATGTGCATCTAAAACATCACACTCAGAGGCATCAGGAGCATCACACCTTGTCAGGCAAATTCTGAAACCTCTGGCACAAGGATACTTAGAAATTTATCGAAGACAAGATCATGATTTCTTTGGGCTTCGAGATTTTTACAGGTGAGGAAATAGAATATTGAAACTGTATCTGAAAAAATTATGCAGTTTAGTGGTAAAGATAATCATGATGAAACATTTTTTTTTTTAACAGAAAAGAACCCTACTCTAAAAGAGAGTTTGTTATAGGTAGATAGATAATTCATGATTTCATATTGCTAGTGTCTACTCCCAACCATCATAGATCTTTGATTTACATGATCCCCTTTGACCTATGGGTCATTCTTTATGAACAAGAGGAAATTATTCTATTTTACTGCAGCTTGATTAAGATGGTGAACCAGTTTGCTAAAAATTCGGGAAACGTGCCGACTTGGGCTGAGATTGAACATGCAATTAGACGCAACTTTGGAGGATTGTCAGAAACTGAAGATCACATAAAAACATTTAAGAAGAAACTTGAAATTTATGTGAAAAAGGGGACGGTTAGTTTGAAATGAGCATTTTCAACCCATTACCATTTGACTTTTTGCCACCACTGTATTTTAAGGGTTGGGGGGTGATAACATTGGTAAATTCTAAATAATATTATAAGTCAATCATTACATCATCACTAACTCGCAATGTTATTTTCCTATCCTAAACATTCGTGGAACAATGTACATTGGAGGTTGGAGAAGTTTAAACACACAGCACATTAGGTGTACTAGGCCCTAGTATATATTAACCATTCTATACCCAACTACTCGGGTGAAGTCCAATTAGTGTTTGGCAAGGTAATTATGATTTATGGCCCGTTAAACTAAACTATCGCCCTTGAGTGAGGCATGGTTGCTTGTTGTGGTTCTTGCATAGTTCTACTACTGGTACTACTTTCAGTGACCTTAGTTGTTGGTTGGAGTATCAAGACCCTGCTGTGTTTAATATGTGCAAATTCAGAGGTTGTAGCATGGACCTATTAATAGGTCCATGGTTGTAGATTGCATCCGCTGGAATGCTCTCGCTTTTATAGAGTACTACTGTGTTACGTCACGATACCACGTGATACTACTAGCATTTGTTACTGGCGTTGATTGTTTTAATACACAGTACTATATAATTTAATGGAGATGACACAGAGTGCAAAAAGCACTAAGAGCCATGTAAACATCATGCAGTTTAAAGAACAATATTTGAGAAATCGACCTTCAAAATTTATGATGTTGGGCATTATTCAGCCAGAAAGCATTACCAGATTGTTAAAAATTGTTGTTTTAATATTGAAAATGGGGAAAATAACAGCATAGCATGATATATAGAAAGGTTAGTTTAGTGTAATAAAATATCTCTGAAACAGGATTTGCACCGAGTGACTGGTTTGGCTTGTCTTTGCCACAAATGATTATGTTTTGTCATAAGAACATAACATCAAAATCAATCTGACTGTTTTTTCAGTAAGTTTGCTCAATGTGTTAACTTTTTTTGTACTCATAGTGTGACAGAGATCCAGACTGTTCACCGTCAGGCCTTATCAAAGCTAGCTTGGATGCCCAGGGACAAACGCAATTAGAAGGAACAAAGAAAGTAGGGCATGGAACATCTGATGGGTATGTCTTCAGTAACTTCATTAGTGAATATTTGAACTGTGAATGCCCAATATTGAAGGTCATTCGCCAGACATTCAGCACACACAGCATAAGCCCCGTTCATATCCAACTATGGCGAGATAATTTTAGTGGATGAGCTAGAAGATCTCGCCATAAGTTTGAGTATGACCGCTCAAGTATGGCGAGATGAAGGCCACAACTCGACTAAGCCCGTCGAGTAAATTTATGTCGACTAACTTCTTTATCCAGCCTAAAGCCAGCAAACAATTAAACAGCGGGTGGCCACAGGTCACGAATACACCAATCAAATTGAAGCAAAGTGACCTTCCATGCTTGCTGGTTAGCGCGTTTTTTAGTTACTGTCATAAACACCATTCAGAATTGACGCAGTCTCCCTGATCTGTGTACTTTAATTTCAACAAGTCTTATTTTGCAAATGATGGCTGAAAAGTCAGTAAAGAAACGCCATCTCTGGACGTATGCGCAGGAATGTGATTTAATAGATATCTGGAGGGAGCCAGAAATCACCGAAAAAGTTGAAGTATCGTCAGAAGGCTGGTGTCCACGAAAGGATAGCAGAGAGAATGCGGGACTTAGGCCACAATAGCATAACATCGGCAATTGTTGTGACAAAGTTGAAAAATCTAACAATGCTGTGAGAGACGTTTTTATTCCAGCTGGACTCCTCGGCCAGTCTAATCAAGCGCCGAGACCTAGGCCTATAGCTTACGCATATAGTCTCGATCTAGCATAAACTAGTCGCGCGAAAATCAACAGTAATTACCCACAATGCAATGATGTGTTTTCCGAATTTCTGGTAGTCAAAATAACTCGCTCTAACCTTAACGTCGAACGCAATTAGTGGATTTAATCCAATTAACTTGGCAAGTAGATCAGCTACTTCATCTGGCTATAATCCCATATGAACCTAGCTATAGTCTCCTTTGTAACTATTTATCGCTGTTCACTAGATTTAGACAGTTCCGAAGGCTGCGGCAACTCAGAGGCCTGGCTAGGCCTAACATACAGTATGTTGTGTTCGTTGATGCTGATGATCCATACAAATTGGAAGAGAGAAAATTGATTGGAGACATTTGTAGGGTAGATTCTTAAAAACTCTCTTGTTTTACTTTTCAGGGACAGCAGGTACTTACTTGTGTTGACTGAAAAGTTTGCAGCTCTTCCCATCCTACAAGAACACCTGAACAAAATGAAAGATGCTGTCATTATATATGGAAGCAGTTTTCCATTTGATCAAGAGTACACACAAGTAAGTACACACAAGTAAAATGTATTGCATTGTCTATTTCATAAATTACCTAAATAAATAAAAAAATACCATTTTTTAATTATTATAATAATTATATAACCTACTGTACAGTACTCCTCATGCATAAATTATGGAATCTTAACATTCATATTTATTTATTTTGCTTCATTAAGCATCCATCCTTTCATCCATTGCACTTTTTTTTGGAATTGCCAACACATGAATTCCAGATATTATTATTATTATTAAAGTGGGTGTGCGTGGGTTGAGTATATTGTTTTGGTCAATGTAAAATTACACAGTAGCTGCAAATATAGGAGTGTAGATGAAACGTCAACATTGATTCATTTACTGTACTTACAAACCATTCAGGGGTGGCGTCAGCTTTTTTCAGACAAATTTTCCATCGTTTCCTGACAGATGGACCAGAGTACACACCCACCTAATATCCCCACCATGTTTCGTTTTTCCACAACAGGTTTTACAACTGGTCTTCCCAGAAGCTGGGGCCGGGCCCAGTTGAGCCCCGCTGGGGCTACCCTAAACCTGTTATTACTATTTTAAATTGCAAAAGGGACTACACAGAATATTGTATTTAATGCTGTAATGTTTTACATATAATTTTAACAGGTATGTCGCAATATCAACCGCATTAAGCTTTGTATGGAAGCTGGTCGGACAGTTGTGCTGTTAAATCTCGAGAACCTCTATGAAAGTTTGTATGATGCCCTCAATCAGTACTATGTTTACTTTGGTGGTCAACGATACGTTGATCTTGGACTTGGTAACCATCGTGTCAAATGTCGTGTCCATGAGTCATTTAGGTAAACATTTTATTCAATACAATATCCATACACAACAAATTTTCACACAACAACCCAATGTTCAAGGTGAAATTGTGACCTAGACACTATTTTTTATTTTTTTTAAATTTATTTTTTATTTATTTATTTTTTTTTATTTAGGCACACAATACATGTGCCAAGGATTGTCAATAGCGAATATATCACTATCCTACTTGTAGGTGACAATCCCTTACACAAGACACACACGATGCTTTACACAAACTAAATCTCAATATGAGATTTAGGGAGTGGAGTTGTTTTGGTCGTGTGAGAAAAAATCCATCCTGCAACTGGCAGGAATTGAACCCAGGACCCTGGGATTGGAAGGCAAGCATCTTAACCACCAAGCTATTCAACTCCACATTTGAAGATCTAGAATTGTTATACAGTACTATGTTGGTGGAACCTACTGTATACTCAGTGCATTTATATAGGTCACCCTGATCAGTCATTGAGATTTCAGGTAGCACAGCTTTAGAATAATACAATTTAATTTAGTGCTGTTTAGATGAAAATGATAATTATATACTGCTGACATTGTTTCATATTGTTTTTTTTAAGATTGATAGTTGTTGCTGACAAGGAGGTTGTTCATGAGCGATTTCCAATCCCACTTATCAATCGTCTTGAGAAACACTTTTTGGCTATGACAACGATGTTGAATGAGGAGCAACAGATGGTTGTCAAACAGCTTGAGGATTGGGTGACTTTGTTTACAACTATTAAACACCATCTTCAAGCACAAAAGTATGAGCTGAAATTCATATGTTTCATAAGTTTAGTTTTGGTCAGTTCATCTTGTGCATATATATATGAAATATCTTAAAAGTACAGTAGTTTATTTTGTGAATACATTCATGAATATATTGACTATTGCCATTGTTCCTTTAACAAGAACACCCTAGAAACCAATCCGTAACTGTCTGTCCCAGCACAGCATAAATCCATAATAATAATAATAATGCTATAATATTTACTATCAAAGTTAGAACATAAATTGCCACCATTACCAGAAAAAAGTTGCCTAAGAAACTAGATGTCAAAATTAAGGATTGGTGAATTTTGTACAAAAAAGAAATTCCTTAAGATGAGTGAAAATTTCCCTGAATGGCTGTGTACATGTTTGCCATGTGAAACTCCACGAATGTTTTCATCTTAATTTTTAGAGAAAGTTTCAAGCGGACCGATGCATTTGTTGGATACCATGGTGACACAATTGCTGCTCTTGTCTACCAAACATGGGCATCCTGTGGTGGTGAAAACGAGGTACTTCATAGAAAATATAATGATTATATAATAATAATAATAATAATAATAATAACAAGAGTAGCTGTCTGCATACCTCTGTCCACTGCCTGAATACTGAACAATATGGAGATTATTTTGCCTTGTAATCTGTTACATTGTTAATTACATTATCTCAATTCTGTTCTGTGTCTTAAAAAGAAGGTGGTTGAAAAAGTCAAAGACCAGTTGTTGACATGCGCCACACCAGAATCAGTCACCAGATTATCCAAAACAAATATGTCTGATAAAGAGAGAGAATCACTGACAAATACTTACTTCAGGGTACAGAAGCATGGATGTCTTGCAGACTATCTAGCTGACAAAATTCAGAAGAATCATAAAGAAGGGACTGAGGGGATCCTAGCCCAGGTATGACTAGTAGAGTTAGTTTGATTGCATCCCTTTTTTCTACCTGTTGTCTTTTTCACCATTATAATTTTAAATGTTGCTTATTCTTTGCAGTGCATATAAAAATGTTGATAAAATACATGTTAATATCTGAACTTTTTATAATTTCAACTATCGTTTTTTGACAAAAAATCTATATTCATTCTACAGGTAACAACATATTCACATCTGCTAATAGAAGAAGACTCGGAGGCACTTGCAGTATCTACTAGGATAGATAATTCTCACATTAAGATGATCTCTTTAAAGGAGTTTCAACATGAACAACAATTTTCTCATAAAGTACAGTAAGTACAGTACTGACTATAACTGTTTATGTTAACGTTCAAGTTTATACAAAGAAGCCGAAATGTACATGTCTGGCTAGAATATTAAGGAAGGTTTTTTTAATCATCTGTTACATCTCAGGTTAGAGTCTAGTAGTAGGGGTGGAATGAATTTATGGTAGCAAAAAGTCAATGATATAAAGTTCTAATTAAAAAAGACAGTTGATTCTTCTTGAAACATTTGTTCAACCAATAGCTTAAAAGTAAGTACAACATAAGTGAATGAGATAATGGATAAAGAGTAGAATAAATAAATGATATAGATATGTAGTATATAATTTACTCATGAGTAAAGTAACAACTACTTAATAATTTTCCATTTGATGATTCAATTATACAACAGATTTGATTAGTTTGGATCAGGTCTAGATAAAATTAAATCAGACTTGTCCCAACCTGAAACAGATACAGGTATTAGCTGGTCTGGGTTCACTTTGGGAAAATAGATTTTACTGTTGGCCTCATGAAAATCAGTATTGTATTTTTTTTACGCAGGAAATTTTTTGATGAAAATCGTGCAAGTGAGCGACTACTGTTGGTTCAGTGTGATGCTAGCAGCGATAATACACATCTTATATCCTGTGCCTCTTATCGAGTACAAGATGAAAGAGAGAATGCTTTGTCTGCTATGCAAGAAAGAATGGAGTCGGAGCAAGAATACCGAACAGAATGCCGAGCTCACGTGGTATTTATTATTCAGCTTCCTCGTGTTAACCAGTGTTTTGATGGATTTCAAGGTACAGTATTTTGTCGATTTAAAAATGTGTGTTTTTATTAGCTTTTTGTATCAAGATTCATTTATAGATATTATAAAAAAAATACTGGGTTTTCCCTGCTTAAATGCTTTGAGTGGACCAGCGAATTTGTTGTTGAGATACTTAATTCCAGTCTCATAGACAAGGTTAAAGAGTTCCTTTAATTTTAAAAAGGTTCTCATCACAAAGCAATTTCAATTCCAGAGCCTCATATGAGACTTATATAGGGAGTCACTTTCATTCTGTCTGTAAAGTTGCAAACCACTTGTCAGTTAGGTACAAGTTAACTATACAAGAAAAAAATTGTTCTTTCTTCTGCCATTTCAAGTTTCACAGTGATTTGGTTTCTATTAAATACATAAAACTATTGAAGATATAAACAAATACTGTATATGCATAACATATTTGATTTAAAATTAGGCTATTGTACAGTAAATCTATATAAAAGGATAAATGTATAGTTCTTTTGACATTTCTTTTGCATTTATAGATTCTATATATGTCTTTCATGTTACTTCATGTAATGTGAAGCGCTTAGAGGCCTTTGTAAAGGCATGAAGCGCTATATAAGAACGACATATTATTATTATTATTACTTGTTACTTGCTTCCTCTATAACACTTTTTCTTTGTGATTACATGTTACATGTGTCTGTCTTTCTAGGGGGATTATGGGCATCTGCACACATTGATGACCTTCAACCCCCCAAAGACAACCGACCAGATGTTTATAAGCTGATGGGTCGAAAGATTAGCGATTTGTTTACTGTCTCAAAGAAAGAGAGCCAAGAAGACATTCCAGTGAGAAGGAACGAAAGAGAAGTTGCACCAGATGGCAATGAGAATTTGGAACTTGCAACACCTGTGTCTGATGGTAATCATAAATTCATTGTATACATCATTTATGTATTTGTTTAGTCATTCATTCACTCTTTCCTTAATCACTCACTCAGTAAATTTTCTGTTCTTCCGTGGTGCACTGAAGGACTTTAGAAATTCTTAGCCTACTTACAATGTTTCTTGACTTTCAATCAGAGGGTCCTGGGTTAAAACTGTAAAATCTGTAAAAAAAATATTATAACACTCTAGGAGATTATTTTTTATAGGATATAGTAATTACTGTTACTTCATATTGTTAATATTTTTTTTTTGGAAGCAAAAACTCTTTTGTTGGAAGTTTTAGTTACACAAAGTCAAGTTCAGTAAAAAAAAACTGACTAGATCAATTTTAACACATATCTAATTTCTGAACGTGATAAATCAGATGGTGAAGAAAGCATGGATCGTGATTCTGATGATGAAGAAAGCATGGAAGGTGATTCTGATGATGAAAGTAACAGCATGGAGGATAATTCTGAAGATGCAGAAAGCATGGAGGATGATTCTGGTGATGAAGATTCCACAGAGGACATGGATCAAGAGGATGTAAGCAAAGGTGAGAGGGCGAATGTCAGCAAAGTACCTTCAGCAGAAGACATGGAGCAAGAGAATGAGGCCATGACAAAATCTAATATTGAAGAGGCCACATTGGAAAAACCAGATGAACATGTTGCTGTGAATGTGGAGAGTGACGAAGATAATACTCTAGTTGATTTCACAGCAGTTCTCTTGGATAGTATTCATCCAGCAACTGCAAGAATTAGTGACCCAACCAATCAGAAACATCGTTCAACTGAAAGGGTTCGTCTACTAGTAAATCTATTGAAGGGAGATTCTCCTCACCGAGGTATAATATATCTTTTGAATTCCATTATATTTTGCACTATGGTAACAGAGAGAAAACTGAATACATATCTTATTTTATACTTAATCAACACCACTCATCATGGTGGTGCTTTTAGAGCAAAAGAGAAAACAAAGAAAATAAATATCATGTTTAGATATATACAGTATATTAGACAGTGTTGTAATACATAAAAAGAAATTTCTGCTTTATTGTATAGTATCTATTGTTTAATATGATTATATTTTTGGCATACAGTATTTTGCTGATATACTATTAAGAATATTTTTTCACTCTGCAGAATTTCTACGTCTGTTGAAGTGTCTCGTTATCAGGCTTGTCGAAGAAAAAGACAGCATAGCACACGAGGCATCTCAATGGTTGACACGAGAGGCACTTGACATCAAAGAGGTTCAAGAAAGTGGAACATTTAGGTGAGTTTACATGTCTATTGAATTTCTACACAGATATATTATGTCTATAGAATGCAAATCAAGTTCCTTGCTCAAGGAAACAGGTGGAAACAGGTAGAAAAGATAGCTTTCCAATCCAGATCTCAAGGTTGAGAAACCAAAATCATTCTTGCTGTGCCAAACAATTTCTTTTGTAATGCATGTAATGGTTGTGTGGTCTGCTGCATGAAAAATACTCACAGTAAGTGCAGGTTGCAAAAATATTTTCACCAAAATAACATTTTTTATCCACACAGGCAAGCATGTTGGCAACGCTTAACAGCAACTGTAGCCCCATTCCTTGCTGAAGTTATTGCCATATGTGACATCTGCAACAATCTTAGTCTCCTTGAAAGCCAGGAAGCCGACAATGCTTGGCTGCATGAACTTTGGCTCAGCATCTTTTCATCTGTAGATCTGATTAACATCAGCTATGACATGTGTTTGTCTCCTGAGAAGAAAGTTCAACGATCTGAGGTGCAGCTTCAACAGAAAGGATATGGTGGCAAATCATTCAAGGCTCTCTTTCCATTCTCATGGATTATAAAGGGAAAATTGGAAGATATTTGGAAATTTGCCTCAGAAGCCAAAGGTTAGCCAGATTTTATAAAATATATAGTGTTCAAAATACATCCGGTACCGTTTTCAATCCATTTTCTAAACAAACATTATTCAGTGGAATAATTGGTACAGAAATTTAATATTCGATGATAAACATGTTTAATTGTGATTTATAATATTTTTGTTTTGGCAGTTGAAGCAGAGGCAACAGATCAACAGTTTTTAAAGTTTGTTCAAGAATCTGAGGTTGGAACGAAACTTCAGACAGCCATCACTACCGTTGGAACTCAGAAGGTTGTCCAACACTACTGCTCAGACTTCATCAGAATGACCTGCAAGATCTCCCAAGAAAAAGAACACAAGGTAGATAAATTATTAATTTTCTATTCATAATTGGTTGATAATTTGGAACCTATCATATAGTTGATAAAATATATCTTTAACTAAATCTAATATTTTTGTTGTTTCAACAGTTGATCTGTGACCATATAATAAATGCATCTTATTCAATTGTACAAGAGCTGGGAGGTCAAGTTGACAGTGTGAACTCTGTTGCTGCTATACATTTAGCATTCAACAAATTCCAAGCAAGGTTTGAACATCTCTCACAGCTTGTTGATATCTGCCCAGACGTCTTGAATAACAAACCAGAGCAAGAAGTATTAGATACAGAAGAAATGGTAAGAGCAGATGGAATTTAATTGGCTTTAGAATGCTATATAACTTTGGTTTGTTAGCTATTACTAAATGACCAGTTTATTTTAAATTATTTGCAAAACTGAGGTAAACAGCTTCAAACATCATAAGTTTCACACTGTAAGCATTACTGCACACACAGTAACAGTTACAAAAAGTGTATGTTATGAAGGTTTAAAAAAAATTTATTTATTTTGTGAAGACCATTGACGTCACAAGTCTGAAATATGTCCTGGGAGAAATCAATAGCAAAGATTTTAAATCACAAGATGGACAAAGAAAATGGCTGAGCAAGATCCACACACTGTGCCCAGTTGTTCAAAGTATGATGGGATTGTACAAGAAAAAGGAATGCATTTTTGGACCAAACAGTCAGATAATCCTAGAGGAATGCAGGTAACATTAAAGGAAACCTGATTTACATGAGACAAAATGTTGAATTATGCATAACATGTTGAATGTATGCGTGCTAGGGAAACTTATCCCCTGCTGCATTCCAGTAACAATATTAACATAAATATTAGAAGCAATGATAATATCATCTTATAGACTAGCTGCCAACAATTTGTAAAAATTATCTTGTCCTGGAAAATATATAAATGCAAACTTACCAATATAATTCCATAAACAACTAAAGTGAACTGAGAGGCAATGGGGATGTCTGTATAAAGCTTTATGGTTAACTTTAATCATTTGTTTGCTGTAATATCAATGACAAATTTGATATGAAATACAATAATCATGAACCGCTTTTCTCTTAGATGTTTGTGGTCGAGGATAAATGTGATGAAGCTGTTCTTTGAGCATGTCTGCTTGCAAAATGAAGAGTTTGCTGATATTGTTTCACCGAAATGCAGAGCCCTCTGGGTGGTATGTAGTTTAAACTTCAACTGACCTGGATAAATTGATAAATGTCAAAGTATCTTTTACAATTTAACAGTCAAGCTTAAAAAAATAATGGAATTACCTATCTTGCCTATGTAATTTCAGAGCAAGGGGAAGGGCATTTATCCTGTTAAATATCTCACACATAAACTAAAAACATCACTGCTGATTTGCTTAGTTTTTAGGAATCATATGTCAGAAGCTAGTTTATTTGTGATCTGGATGTAATTAAATGCCATTTTTACTTTGCATTAGATTATTACTATTTTTAAATTTGCAGTAATTATTGTAATTATTGATTTGTATTTCTTTCTAGGCATTGAAGAAAACAGCTGACTTGAAGTTGAATGCCTCAGTGAAGAGCTTAGTGAATATCCTGAATGAAATTAATAAAAAAGCTGGTGAAAAATACTATAAGTAGGTTTAGAGTCTATATATAACTAATTAATAACAATAATTTGCAATAAAAACAAAATAAAATCATTTACTGTGTATTGATTTGTAATACATAAAAAAAAACCAAATACACAGATTAACAAATATGTAACAATGTTTTGCAGGAGTGGAATTCATGACTGTGGAATGTGTGGTGAGGCCATTAAAGATCCTGTGCTCTTGCCTTGCAAAGGTAACCATGTCTTTTGTAAGGAGTGCATCAAAGGATACTTCAAAACAGAACGTGTAAAGATATGTGCTGTATGTAAAGAGGAGTTGCCTCAAGAGTTTGAGTGTAAGGAACAGTCTAAAGTCAGGTGAGAAGATTAAAATAGTTTAGTTTACTAACATTATTGGCAGTGTGGCAACATGGCACTTGACGCAAATATAGATTTTAAAACCCTACCCTCCCATCATACCCTTGTTGTTACGGCGTTGTAGTCTATTTTGATAATCAATTGTTGCGAGCAGTGGAACTTGAGTACCTTGTATTAAGGAAATTTTTCACAATCTCTTTTTTTTTTAAATATATATTTTTTTATTGCAACCAATAGTTTAGGAAGTGTAGACTCAAATTATGAGGATACAAGTTACTGTAAGTAACCTAGAGGTTAAACAATTTCATATTGCCTTTGTAGTATATTATTAAACAAAATAAAGGCTTGAGAATTTATTATTCCTACGAAATGTTAAAATCAGTCATTCACATTTTAAATTTTTTACTAATAATAAGCTATCTTTTTTTTCAGTGCTGTTGTTGCTCAGCACAATGCGTTCCGTCAATGTTGCAACTCGTTTTTCATGGAAGTTGTGTCCCAGCTTTGTTTTGCTGATGGAACCCCACCAAGTGAAGAAGTCATCAAGAGGTTGCTGGGATATGTAACAATAGATTCCAAAAAACATAACAGACGTGTCACAAGAAATGTTTCTCCTTTCCCGGAGGATTGTATCGATCCAAATCCAGTTGTCAGATCTTTCTTACTCCAGCTGTTGCTTCAGTCAAAGTGAGATCATAATGATATTACTATGATAGATGGTGGAGAGGTTGGTGATATGGTGGTCATGATGGTGATAATAGTGGTAATATTGGTGGTTGTGGTTGTAATGTTGGTGTGGTAGTGGTCACAATAATACTTTTCAATTTTTAGCACCAGCCTCTATGCTTCATAATTCCATGTTTACTTATTCATGAAGATCATGCAGATTAATTTTGAATACATTTTACGTTACAAATTAAGAAAAACAATCCCAAACTATCTGATTACTAGTATTTATTTTAATATGCTTTACTAGTTTGGAAACTGTAAAAGAGCATGTACAAGAGTATCTGGGAAACTCAAGAGATCTCATGGAAAGATCTGATGATGCTGTCAGCCTCTGCAGATTGTTTGTCAACTGTCTAGAAGTAAGTTATGAACCTTCGGATTTGGAAGGTTCCTCTAACAGTGTATTCACTAAATTTTTGTAATATTTGAAATTGACATTCAACATCATTATCTGTCATTAAAAAAAAAGTATGAAACACAAATAACTAAAGTCATTGGAAACGTGGTTTTGAATCCCATTTGGTTAAAATGCTTGTGTTTTTGAGCAATGCACTTTATCTTCACTTTCATCTCTTCTTCCAGGAGTACTAGATTGGGTTGTATAATATACAAACATACTGATTAATAACTGCAATAAAAAATATTCCATAGGCATGATAACATGTCTCTTGGGCACCCATAACAAATATCTGAAGATTAATAATTTTGTTTTTGAGCAGCCATAACAATTATTGGAAGATTAATAATTTTGCATATTATTAAAATCCACTACCTTAGTGGAGGTGGCTCTTCCATCTATCATGTGATTTATTATTAAACAGTACATCATAAGATGTAAGGCAGATTCTAAAACAAAGAGGATAATACACTAAGGCAATGTACATGTACAGTACACTGTACTACAGTCAACACCTCTCCAATCTTAATCCTACTGAACAATTTCATTTGCTGCTCTCCTCTGTTTCAGCTAGAGAGCTGAAATGCAATTTTCATTCGCTCACTGTCTTTCAGAAAGAGTCAAAGCCATTAATCTTGTGTTCAGAATAGAACATGTGCATGAATACAGTACACCTTTCTGTGTACCATTTCAACACCAGAAGTGCCCCACATTAAATAGGACTTTTAAACTGTCTCTGTTCACATCAAACTTCTTATAGTCTATAAACAGCCAAAAAAACCAAAGGAGAAATATCAATAACACCACAATTAATACCTCCCTTTTTAAATACGTAAAAGATTGAGTATAATTTGTTGTCTGACAAATTTTTTTCCAGGACACATACTACTCTGGTATTCCTCAAGACTCTGATACAAAACTCATCCGGTTGCTCCTCGATGATGCTCTTAGGAAACTTGAAAATTCTCACCACTTTTTTGACAGACAAAATGCCACTGCAGACCCATTAAGTGTTGAGTTACTTGAAGCAATATCGCAGAGTCGTTTTGCATTGACAGTGCTCGCTGACATCATTCAACGCCAACAACAAGATCAGCAATGCTACAGTGCAATTAATATCAAGCGTCTTGTAAGGCAAACATATATATTAATGTTTGATTCTTAGATTGTAGACTTTATACCTAGAAAATGATGGTTATATTGCATTCCTGGGTATTAGGTTTTGCTTAAGGATATATCATCGATTCATTCAGATATTTATTTCCCTGAAGAAACTAAATGCTAACTGTGACCTGTGTATAATTTTTTGAATTGTGATTGTATATTAGTTTAATTCCTGATAATGTATAAAAAATGAAATATGCTCAGTATTTGAAGCACATTTTAAGACTTAATTTTGTTGATAGGTTGCTATGCTGGCAAATGCAGCTAGAAGATTCTGTCAGCAGAATAAACAGGCTCAGTTGTATCTTGTGAAGTACATCTGCAGAGCTTACAGCAAAGATGCTCTTACACGTCTGAAAGATGATGAACAGTTAAACTGGATCTTACCAAATGAGTTGAAAGCTCAGGTATGAAATGCTATTATTTCCATGTCAGTGTGGCACAGATAGTACAGGCAATCAGATGTATAGACAGCTTAGGATTTTTGTATTTTAATAGGCATATAATGAATGAGATCTTAACATTAATTCTATGAATTTTATACACATAGATAAAAAGTAATACTTAGTCTATTCCTAAAGACAGACTAAGCATGTTGGCTGTTGCTGTACACTATGATCATTTTTTTAAGTGAACTGTAGATGCTATTTCATATTGTTAGTGGCGTATCCTTGATGTGCACCCTAGGTTGTCCAGGGCGGATGCAAGATTTGGTGGAAGGGGGTGAGGGAGAGTGCACACCACTACAGCCCCACCATGGTTAGGGCTGAGGGGAGGACATTTTGAGAATATGGACCTCTAGGTGCCCGGAAATTGCACTCTCATACCTTAAAAATCTTACTGGTAATTCATATCAACAATGCAATACAACAATTATTTTTTCTTAATACAGTTTAGGGTGGGAGAGGCCCCTGCATCCACCCCAGGTCATCTTGCTTTTCTGATGACTTTAGGTCGTGTTAACCTCAACTTGTTCAAGGTCACACAATGACCAAGCTGTAATAACATATACAGCTAATGACTCAAGTTCTTTTTGAGTATCAGAAAAACTTTAGACAAATCAAAAGTTTTTCTGATTATCTTTTTTTTAATTGCTGTAGAGTGTATGATTACATTTTAATTAAAGTTTTCATTTGTTACTCCACACAGTACCTGAATGTTCCAGATAATTTTGTCATTGTTGGTGAGACATACACTAACATTCGAGAAGCTATTGGTCAATGTGTGGTGGACAACGATTTTGAGAAGATGTGCAAAGTTGTGACGGTACACACACTCTTTTCATCTCAATTTAGGATTTCTTATATAATATTAGACAGGTTTGTAGATATACAATAAGCTAGTCTTAATTTTATTGCAAACAAAATAGAAGTAAAGTTCATTATTCAAACCCTAGCAGTTAGGATAGAAATGAGAAATACAATGTTTGGGTTTCGTATTTATTTTTATGAATAATTTAACTTTATTTAAATTTTGATTTACCAATTTGTTTTTTTTTAAAATATTTTTGTGTTTTACATGACTCAAATGCCACTGTATTTTGTCCATAGAATGTGAAGGGAAATCAGAAAGACAAGGAAGTATGCTTTCTTCTTGCTTTATTTAGAGAGATCACAATGAATGCCACAACTACTGTAGAGGCAAGAAGAATAAGTTTGGAGGTAAATCTGAATGAGGAAATTGACAGTGAACCAGATATGCAGGGTTTAAATGTTTGATATAGCTTAAAATACGAAATTTAAAGTGGTTTTATGATTAACATATTTGAATTTCGATTCTAGCAACCTGAGTTCAAATCTGGCAAATTGCAGATTATTGATAGTGAGAGTAACATATAGTCTGCTACTAAATTTTTTGACAGATTACTCAAGTTATTGGGCCCATTCATTTCTTGGTTAGTACACCAGGTGCTATTGATAACAAAATCAGCCTTGTCATTTGTGCCAGTTTGAATTCCACGCTAATTTAAATCCCACTTTTACAGGGAGCAGCACTTCATAACTGCATGTAAAAAGTGCTATTTTTTTACTAGAAAAATTTAATATAAATTCATAGTGCAATGTTGTTTTTAACTGGTGGAACACTCAGTGCTTCAGGTCACTGGTTATATTCTATAAATATATCTGGAATTACAAGCTACACCATACTGTCTTTCAGAAGCCTTAAATAATAACAGCTTCATTGATTAGTTGAAGTTTTGATTACTGCCTTTTTGTTATTTAAAATTATTTATTTACTTTCCTAGGTAAAAAGAAAATTTGGAGAAATTATCCAAGATATGCCATTCCTGAAAAGCAAGGTAAATGAAAAAGTAAAAGAAAATTCCAATTAACATTAGTTGACAACATATGATAAATAGATGTATTGAAGATTACTGTACATCTTATTTCACTCCTTAAAGACTGAAATATAAAAAAAGATTCTTCTTTTAAAAACATTCTTAAACTGGGGAGTAGTAGCTATAATGATGACGACAGTAACCGTAATTGAAATTATTCAGCAAAAGATTTAGTGTCCCATTGAAAATTTTTAGTTCTGTCTTTTCCTTTGGTGTTTAAAATTAACAATCAATACAGACCATCAGAAAAAAAAAATACATTTAATATTTACATATCAGATTGTTGCGGATACATTGTTACAAAACAGAGGACAAAATCCACAGCATATTCTTAGGGTCACTCCTGGATTGAACCTTCTAGACTACAGTATCCAGGCAGCTGTTACGCATCTTCAGATTGTTCTGAATGTAGTTGAACGGCAGTCATTGACCCAGTGTCTGGCAACTTTGATGAGATCCCCATCTCAAATGCAGGTTAGAATTCAAAATTTTGGATACACAATAATGTACAAATTACTGGTACTTGTGCTATAGGTATTTATAATGCACCTCTTCCTTGCAGTTATAAAGCACAGTTCTTTTCCCTGGTCATTGGCTCCCCTGGACATTGCTAACAGTGGCGGCTCTAGGATATATTTTCTGGGTTGGCTAAGTTGTCCGGCAGGGGGAATTGAGCTCGTAGGCTTGAGCTGGGAGAAGGGGTTGAGAGGGGGTTCCCCCTCCCAAAAGAGATTTTTTTAAAGAATATCAACCTCTATCATGGCCGAAAATGCAGACATGTGTTGGCTTGGTGTGGGCCTATTTTTATATGTTTTATGGTCTGACTGCCCGACGGGCTCTGTCCAGCGTGGCGGGGGGCTTGAACTCTCCGTTGGAGGGCTTAACCTGTCCGGTGGGGGGCTTAAGCCCCTCCCCACCACCCCGCTGGCACTGCCACTGATTGCTAAGTGTTGCTGCTGGTAATCACAGCAAGTAACCCAACCAGGTACCCATTTATATTCCTGGGTAAAGAGAAGCAAAGTGTCTTGCTTAAAGAAACAAGTGAAATGCAGAGCAAGGGATTAAAACCCTAACCTCGAGGTTGGGAAACCAAACCATTCCCGCTGCGCCAAACCGCAATTACTTTTGAATGCACAAATAGTGCATCTTCGGGAGATTTAATGGATCATACTTTTTGCAATAGACCATTCTGGTGGAAAGAAAACCTAGTATTCTTTCTAGGCTTTGCTAAATTTACTGTGCGCCTTGTGTAATTTAATCAATGTCAAGGTGTTTTGACAAGGTACATGGTTAGTTCAGCCAAATATTATCTTAATTCAAATGGAATGTAATTGTTCGTCAAGTATAATTATAATGTAAGAATGCTCAATAACAAGCCGTCATTCCCACTTCACTTATCCAGTACATTTATTGCTACTGAAATTCTAAATGTGTTTTTTATCTCATTCCATCAACTGTTATTCCAGCAAGCATATTTACCAGCAATGCCACAAGATGACCGCATGGAAGCACAGGCAGCTCTTCACCAGGCAACGGCAGATCACAATCTGACCTGGTATGGTAAGTAAAAAAAAAAGTAGAGGTGAATGGTAATAACATTAAAGATTTAATTTTAAAAAACCTAAATCATTCATTTATCACAGATTGAAAAAAGTTAGTTTTCGCTGATGTCAAAGAGAGTTGCTACAGCAATCTGTTTATTATCAGTCAGTTTATGGGTATATGCCCCTCCTTGTTAGGTTTTAGAAAGCATCAAATCTTGTTGTTCACCATGATACTTAAAACCCTACTTTCATAACTATACAAACAAAGTATTTTTACTAATTCATTTTTGTGTTTCTGCTTTTGCATATAGAATGCCCAAATGGTCATCTATACACCATAGGAAATGTAAGTATACATCAATAAATTAAAAAAAAAGAAATTTCAAGGAATTCTTGAGCAATACAAAAAAGTAAAAATATAATCCACCAGAATATACACAAAAATCAAGTATCATTCTGTTTTTTTCTTCTTCTTTTTACTTTTATAAATATCACATCTTCTTACAATCTCATACAAATTATGTTCATTACCAAAAACTATAAGTCTTACCACACATGAAAGCAATCTGCTTACGCCAAATGCCACATATGAGCTTTGGCATAAGCACCACTTTTTTTTTTCATTTTCTTTTTGCGCTTGAGCTGTGTCGTGTGTCATGCACCTTCTTCACAAGGTCTAATAAAGTGTATATCATTTCAGTGTGGTCGGCCGAATGGGACAGGATTTTGCTCAGATTGCAACGTGAGAATTGGAGGTCAAGGATATGCAGCACTTCCAGGAAACAAAGTTGCAAACATGTATTATGATTTTCATTATTATTTATAATCCTTAATTTTCAGCAATTCAAATAATCTTTTAAATAATGGTAATGCAGTTTAAATAACAATAAATAAATTAAGCCCATAATAAGTTTTTAGCATAAGTGCTCCACTCAGAAATAAGAAACATCATGTTTAGAAATTGATTGTGTGTGACACAATTTTAATAGAAAGCACTGTGCTAAATGTACATATTATTTATTTTTTTATATCTGAAATTGATATGGCTGTTAAGACAAGATTTATACAGTATTTGAATTATTATGAGTGTTTTCTTGTTAAGTTTTTGGTTTTTTTTAAACACAGGGTTGATACAACACGTACAGGCCATGTACTTGGATACCCACAAGTTCAACGTGGCAACCAGATTGTGAGTGAACGAACGATGAGCAGCATAGCAACTGCTGTTGTCCGCTTTTTGTTGCATGCTAGTATGCTGCTGGGAACCGAAAGCCAACAAGGTCCACAGGTTAGGAAATAATCATGAATATCTTCAGTATAGTAATTCACTTTGGGGTTTGCTTTCCCTTTTTGCTTCACTTTTAAATATTCATTTGTAATATCCAGTTCTGAAAACTGTGGGTCGCGACCCATCAGTGGGTTGCCGAAATATCTTGGTGGATTGCGAGACCTTGACAGAAATCACAAAATTTTAGCCAGGCCTTAATTTGTAAAGACAATATCGGGATTAAGATACCTTGAAATATGGTTTATTTTGTGATACATCTCATCAAAAAGTAATCTCAGATCTAAAAATTTCTGAAAACGTTTTTTCTGAGCTTACCTATCTTCACTCAAAGTTTTCCACTTCATGTTGTGGCATCAAATCTACCTAGATCTGCACGTCATAATCAAACTTTGGCGTGTGTGCCTACGAATTAATCTAGGTCAGCGACGATTGAGTTCACATGGGTTTGTGTGAGTTGTGGAGATCCCTGTGAAGTGCTTTCAGATAACTTTTTTTTGTCAGCTTTTTAATCTAAAAAAATTATGTCAAGAAAATACAAGAAAAATGGGGTTTGTAGCAAACGGAGACAAGCCATAATGTGTAAATTGTGGGTGGACAGGATCAAATGAGTCAATGAAGCCATTGCTATCACCAGTGCTATCACTATGTTGGAATACTCGATCATATATTGTACAAACACAATCATGCAATGGAAGCCAGTATGACATAATATTTTATGAATAATTAATTACAATTTAATGGGACAAAATTTAGCTTTAAAACAGTTGTGTAAAATACAATGAAATGAAACATTGTGTGCAACGTAAGCACGGTATAGCGCTCTCTGACTTGTGCGTGATGCACAATCTGAATTTCTTAACTTTTGTCAGTCTGAAAAGTTTGCAGAATGCTTGTTTCTACACAGACAGTATGATTTTTTTTATAAAGAATTGTTTTTTTCAGCCAATCATCAATATGATTACACCTCATCCACTTAATGTGCTTGAGTTTCTATGGCACCATCTGCATAATGATGTAAGATTGTTGTCAATAGCAACAGGTAAGAACAAGGATGATTGCATCTTCATCCTTCACAGACAGTATGTTTTTTTATAAAGAATTTTTCTTTTTCTTTTCAGCCAATCATCAATATGATTACACCTCATCCACTTAATGTACTTGAGTTTCTATGGCACCATCTGCATAATGATGTACGGTTGTTGTCAATAGCAACAGGCAAGAACAGGGATGATTGCATCTTCATCCTTCACAAAGTTATTGACAACATTTTGCACAAACAAGTCCCAGGTAAGGGCTTAGATATTGTATAACAGGAATATTAACAATTGATTTTTAAAAATTCAGTTAAAATTATAATAACAATACTGTATTGATGATGCAGATATTGATGATATGTTGATTACGACAGCAGTGGTGGCTGTGATAGCTACTGCAACAATGATAATAAGAGTGTTTTGCATTTATATTACATAAAAAAAGTATAATTATTATAATTGCGTAACAGTGAAAATATATAATACATGATAATAGTGAGAACTTTTTTAAATTCCAAAACTTAATGAAAAATAATGATAGTAAAGCGATTCTCGGAGGAGAAAAGTCATGTTCAAAAGTTATTTGATTACTTTTCACAATGACAAAGAGTAACTTTACTTGGTTTTACCATAGAGAAAATATTTGTTTGCATTGAACTTTCTGATTTGGGAAAAAGGCCTGGTTATATTTCATGACAAAATTATTTGCTTGATTTTGGTTAGTGTTTCTAATTTGATGTTTTTGATATAAAATTTATTTATTACCTTTAAAAACTGTGTTTTTCAAATTTAATAGAGATTTGTATTAATTTAATGTTCATTGTTTAATTGATTTATGTTCATTTTTTAATAATACAAAAGTAACATGTTTTAACAAAAATAATTTCCCAGCACAATTTCAATCTGGCTTTCAACAACTGTTGTCATCAAAGAAAAGTCGAAAAGTATGGGAAGAAAACTTTACAAAAATGTACATCACACCTCTGCTCCAGGTAGGGTTAAAATAAATAATAATAATAATTTTTAATGATAAAAATATAATAATGATGTTAATGATGATGATTATAAGGACAGTAATGGTGGTTATAAGCTCAATTCCAATTAATAATAAAAATATCTTCTGTTGAAAATAATCGGTAGGGACTTGATGAAATGATTGACCTATCAAACCAGACTCTGATTGCTGACAAACGTCTCAGCGATGATCCTCTGATGCGACTGCTGCACACAGCAAACGCTGTGAAGCCTGAAGACCTTGGTAAGCTGGTGGAGACATCACACGTATGGCAGTACCGTAGTCGTATCACCATTCAGTGCATCCATCATGCTTTGGCAAATGAAGAAGATGGTGCTTCACTGCAAGTCTTAAGACTATTTATGGAAAAGGTTACTATACACTTTTATTTCTATGTGAAATATGAGATACATTGCCAGAGAATTGCCACTGAATTTTTAAAATGGTGTTATTTTCTTCTTTGTTTACCAACTATATATCACTATATAGCATCTTGCACTTCTTGAGTTGATTGGCTAGTTTGCCAATGACATTCATTGGTTTGAATTAATTCTCCGATATTGTCAGTGTCTCTACTGTACACTTATAAGGGTGTATTACATATGGCCTTATATGCATAAAAAAAAAAGATGAAACGGTTAATTTTTTGGAAAAAATAAATGAAAATGTATAGGCCTGTGGCACTATTGCTTTTGGCGCCTATCTTTATCATTCTTTGCACAGCAATAAATTTGAAAGGTTGTGTTGTCAGTAATTTAGTAGATAAAACACTGTAATTTTTAAATTCTTATAGAGCTAGTGTATTTTATTGTGTGTTGTATTACTGTTTCTGCATAGGAGAAGCATCTCAGAGTTGTGCGACATTTGCCTGACATTATCCGACTTCAGCGTCTCCTAATCAACAAATACAACAGGCACATTGACTCTGCAGAAGCCATCAACTTGAACATTTCAAGATTTTTGGATCAAGTACACGGTAATCACAGCTACCACAGTCACATGAAAGCATCTTCAGCATTATAAAAATCCAAAACAAATTTTCCAAAAAATATATTTCAATAATAAATTGATTTAGTATATGGTAAAGGTTGAATGAGTACATGTAAGTGCCAATTCAACATCATGATCATGATGCAATTATCAAAATCTTAAACATGATTATTGTCATCATCGTCATCAAAATCATAGATCATCATAATTACTGTCATATTGTCATCATGCAGTAGTGATCATTAGATGTTATGTAGTGTACATATGTAAATGAGCACTGCAGTATATAAAAAAATGTTAATCATCAAATAAATCAAATTGGCAATTTATTCCAATATATTTCAGTGAATTAAAGGTCATACCGTAAATAAACTTAAAAGCATATATGGTTGAAACTTTCAAGGTTTAAAATTGTATACAAATATATTTTTTTGGTAATGGTATCTGGGGCGCTGTACAATAAATCATGTGATTTGTTTTCACCTGACATTTCAGCTTCAGAGAAGGAGGAGTTTAAGAGATTGATTGACATATTTATTGATGTATGGAATTCTGTCAAACTGGATGTCGAATTAACAGGTAGTGTATATATTTATTAATGACATTTAAAGTGTTCATTCTTTTTTATTCCATTAGGATGTGAGATTTGTGAGATGCCAGTTTGATTTCAATACCGCAATACAAAAAAGAACTATTATTGTTCATTAAAAAAACTGTTATCCAAAATTTAATAAAGATTTTAGTACAACATTTAAGATTTAAAAACAGAAAAATCATACTTATCATAAATCTTTAATAAGCGCCGCTCTAAAATATATAGTAAGCACCACATTGAAGTCTCAAAAAATGTTATAAATGTCACAGCACTTATAAAAGGATTTACGGTACAGCACAAAAATGTAAGAGGAGCATAGTTCAGTTTTGGAGCTGTTGGTAACCACTATGTGTGCACTGAATCGTGGCAATTCTTCTAGAACTTCGGTGGCTGGTTTAATTCTCTTCACTGCTCTCCTTATGTATTAGCTGGAGAACAAGTTTACAATTTTAGCATGTAAAAGTTTTTAACCATAATGAACACAATTTAATATAAATGTTGATTTAAAAATTTCAGTGAAGTTGCCTATCCCAAAAGAGTGTTGTTCAGAGGTCATGTCATATGAAAGTAACATAGCAATGTTGCTACCAACGAGGCGAGAATCTGGTCTGTGTTCTACTGGTCTTGTTGACTTTCTCATCTTTACACAAAACGAATTTCTGGAAAGATACCATAGTATCCAAGAGTTACAGATGAGGTAATAGTTGTTAAGAATATTTAAAATTATTTTATAGTCTGTACAATATAATGATAAAATTTCAACATATATACAAATTGTCTATTTCATGAATACTTTACCTGGATAAACTGACTAATTGATAATTAGATTATGAATATAGAACTGCAAGGCTTTCACAGGGCACCAAATCTTGTCTTCCCACACCGAAGATCGCAAGGAAATGGTGGGAATGAAGGCAGAAGGAGGAGAATGCGCCAAAGCATCTTCAATAGAAAGTCAGCCCTGTAAATGAGCCGAACACAATCTCTCTCAAATTTAATTTGGCCCTGTTCCAGAGAAATAGCATGAATCTTGCCACAACGAAGTGCGGCAACCAAAAAAAGCTTTTTTGAGCAACAGATTAGCCAAGGTGGTAGATCCAAGTGGTAAAACGTGCGTCGGAGATCGACTATTGAACATACATTGTAACAGTTGTGACTCCGCACCAAGGAAGAAATATTCAATCCATCCGGGAACAGCTCCCAGCCCAGACCAATATTCTGTAATCAAGTTCAGAAGAAGCAGCAAGGGCAAGAATTTGTACGCCTAAAACCCGTCTTATGGTGGACAGGGCATCTATGGCCCACGATGTTGGTTAATTCAAACATTGGAAGCTGAGTGTTTGAGCTTGTTGCAAACAGGTCAAGGTTGGGATGCCCAAACATTTTGAAAATAATGTTGGGCCACAGTCGGATGAAGCCTGGATTCAGTAGGTTAGAGGGGAGGTAACTGATATCAAGACAGCGCATCGGCAAGGAATGTGCAGCGCTTGAAAATGGATACATCGGCTTAGACACCACAGGAGGCGCCACGTATGGCAATAGCGTCAGTGAGTGGGTGCCGTCCTGATTGTTGATGTAGGAAATCACAGTTGAACTTTTGGATTGAACTGCCCAGCTTTTTTTTTACAGAAGGTAATAAAAAGAAAAACCTGATATCGATGCCCCCAGAGATCAAGAAACTGCTGAGAGTTCCAAAACATTTGTGTGGCTGGTGCTTTCTTCCAGCGGTCAGTCCCCTACAATGCGCTTCCTGAGCTAGCAACCACGCCGACCAGATAGGAAGGCCTCACCCCGAAAAGCGAATGCCCGGTTGAGGGTTAGGGGAAGCTTCCCGTCGTGAAAAACATTCCTTTAAAGCCACCACTGGAGGTATGTGTTGACAAATGTGTTCATGGGAATCTGAGCTGAAAAGTCTCGAGAACAGGGTGTATGTGGAGCCAGCAATACGAAACAAGTCTACAAACTTCACATGATAACCCAACATTTGTAAAGAAGCTGTGTGATTGCTATCTGGTACTTGCAAAATTGGACCCAGGGAGAGTTATGCCACTGAGCGAACAAGACAGATATAGGGGAATAAGAACCAATTTTTCTCGGTTTATAACAAATCATATGGTTCCTGTCATGTTGATGACAGTGCTTAGATGATTCAACAGTAGCAGAGATGATTATCAACAATAGACCCAAAGGGAGCTCCTTATTCGTAAACCGCTGAATTAGAAAGACGGTTCGAATGTTGGGAATTGTTCTATTATATTCAAAGTGGGGTTCCGTTTTGGGAAAAAAGGCAATTAGCCAGTTTATCCATTTAAATTCACTTATAGACTACCAACATCACGATAGATTTGTGTAATTTTAACTACAAGGAAACATTCAAATACTTCTGACGTCTGAAGAAGTTTACTATATTTATAATAACGGCTCACCATGATAATTATTATGACGATATTGTTTTTCAGCAAAGTCAAAGTTGATCCATCTGACCTGCTAATGTCACACCTAATTGCGTATGACCCGGACCGTGACCTGCTTCCACTCATTCTATCCCAGTGCCAATACATTGTAAGACCAATGGCGGAAAATAAAATTGAATACAACCTGCAAGGTTTAGAGCTGCAACTCATTGAGAGGTTCGTCAGGGGGCGTGCATTTATTGATCGCAAATTTGATCAATTATTTTTCCGACAAGACGTCAGGAATGCTTCTATATTTGAAAGTCTGAGAGACAAGATACCACAGGTAAGTAGATACTACCAACATTTTGATAATATTGTTAAGTACAGTATTTTTCTGGGGATTGATAGACTTTTCAGCTAAACCCGACCCTGTGATATTGTTAAGTTTCCACAAAAGTATAATATAAACTTATGTGAACAAGACAACTCATTCATTTGTGGGACAAGTACATACTGTACTGTTCTATTTAGTAAGTAGAAGTGGTTGGTGCAGTGGGAACGGTTTGGTTTCCCAACCTCAAGGTCGGGGTTTCAATCCCCTCGCTGAGCATTTCGCTTGTGTCCTTGGGCAAGGCACTTTATCTACATTGCTTCTCTCCACCCAGGAGTATAAATAGGTACCTTGTAGGGTGAATGCGCTGATGTAGCTGCTGCAACTTTATGGAACAGTTTGTGTTCCATAGGCGTCTAATCCAACGACCGGGTGTAGTAATGTGAAGCGCTTAGAGGCCTTGTTGGCATTATGCGCTATATAAATATAACATATTATTATTATTATTTGTAGCTCTATTTTGTTGGTTAGTAGTTGAGTTGATCATGGAACTATAATAATAATTTGTTTAAATTGAAACTCCAGAAAAGTCCATTATTTTGAAAAGTGCTAAATGCTGGGTAAAAAATATGGAATATGAAGAAGTTACCTAAAGCCAAGGAAATAAAAAAAAAGAATTATATAAAATACAACATCATATTCCTTCTTTTGTTAGGTTGAGTTGCCGACAGCTGTGCAAAGTAGTATTGTAGCCGACCTTAAATCCTTCCAGGATCTTTGCAAATCTTTAGCATCACTTGATATCGCTATTGGATTCTTGGCAAACTACAAGTCAGAGGGAGACATGCTGATAAAGAAATACTTGCAAGATAAACTTGCCATGCCCTTGGAGAAAGGACTTTGTAGTTCAACAGTAAGAAATATATTTATATAATCTTTGTATGACACTTGAAGCAAACTCTCTAGGTTGTTTTCAATAGAGAAGCATAATTTTTTTTTTCCATTTGAGTAATTATTTTTATTTCATATAAAAATTGTATAACTTTAAGAGTAGTATTGTGATTTTCTAACTTTTTCTTGCAGGCATCACAGCAATGTCGTCTGAAGCATGTTTTGGCACTTTGGCAGGTTCTTGCTGTAGAGAAAGCTCTTCGACTTGCCAACGATGAACGGGTAATTTCATACTTTATAAAAGATTTAGTAAAAAATCCAACAAATAACACCTGAATTTTTATACTTATACCTTTGCCAGTCATGTAAAAATAAAGCATCCTCGTTTTTACTGTTTTCAGGATCCATTTGATGGAATTGAAGAAGAATATCGAAAGGAGTTGGACCAGGAGCAAAAGAAAGATCTTGTTGCAAAATTACGATTCATCAAAGTGGATCTACTGTGTGCAGAGCTTTATGAATATATTGTACTGAATCTTGGACGCCATTCTACCAACACAGATGAAGACAGGACTAAGTGGCCGTAAGTATTTGAAAAAATACTGAAACTAAATTTTGCAGCTACCTAGACTCAACCGAATGGTACTGTTAAGGGAGTGTTTTAACCACTCCTTTGAGGTCCAGATCCTTTGAGGGCCAGAAGTCTTTCAGTCTGTTCCTTGCCTATCATAGATGTTGTAGATTGTTTATACATTTTTGTTGAAACTAACAGCAAAAGAAAATGTAAAATTTCATTAAATTAAATTTCAATTAAAAATTGTCATGAAAACGTTCGTGAAACAAGGATAATCGAACAAATAGCATAGATTATGAAGATACTGTTATTATTTTTACGCAACAAAAAAAAAAAAAAGAAAGCCGGCAGAAAAGTAAGTCAAGATATATCTAAGGGAAAGTCCCTGTAGAAAATTATGCACTTTTATATGGAAAGCTAAAGTCTGTTTGTAAGATAGGTTCAGACCAGGTGCCATCAATACTGGATGCATCACTTATGTTTGATTTGCAGATTGATTCATGAATACTTACCTGGATGAACTGACTAATACATATTTTCTTGTAGCTATATCGCTAAATGTAAATATGCTGTAGTCAGTATATCCGTGTATGTCACTCTAATACCCCTTTTACACTGCAAGCAAAATTCCAGACATAACCCGGGATTTTCCAATACCTGGGTTAAAATATCCCAAGTTGTGGTTAGTGTAAACGTCAAAAAGTCCGTCTTGGGTTGCCAAACATTCCAGGATGGACGTGTGGGCCACATTTTGCGTAGGACAATCTGGGTGCATTCCGGAGTCACCAGTGTAAACAGCACCGAATTTGATTCCGGAATTAGGCCTTACCTGGCGCCTAACTCAGCTGTGGTCAGGTAGGCCTAAACTTTGCTAACAATGGGCTAGGCCTATAGACACTATTCAAATTAAACCCTCAATGCTCCGTTATAGACTTGATATTGAAATCTGAATTATTCGCATAATTTAAAAACAACATGCAGCTACATTGCTTCAATTGACAATAATTTGTCAGCGAACAAAAATTGAGGGCGGTATTAGAACCCGAGTTCGTTGACGGTATAAATGGGAAATTCAACTAGGATCACTCCGGAATTAACACAGGTTTATTCTGTTCTTGGCAGTGTAGAAGGGGTAATAGACTACAACATCACTGCTGAATTGTATATTATTCAACTTTAAATTTTAATCTTCATTACCAGGTTAAATTCTTTTTGACTTGTTTGCCATTTACTGTGTTTCAATTTTTAGAAAGGCTATAATTATATTATTCTGTATTCTCTTTTTTGTCACACTATTTTTGTTGATTGAAAGAAAAAACATCTTTCTTTACAGGATATTGGACACACTAGATGCACATTATACCAGTAAATATGAAAATAGTGAGATTCCTGGCCTGGGTGAGTTCCCAGGCACGCTATTATTGAGTCAAGCTGTCGAAACTTGGAAGGCCATTGCACAGTTTCACTGCAGACAGTCTGTGCAAGGCTAATCTTGTACCAAAGACAACTCACAACAAGTTTGCACAACAATTTCATCTGACTGAATAAAATATATATGTATGCATTGGATATATACTGTCAGATGATGTAAACAGACAACAGTTTCATAAGAGATAATGATGCAAAAATCTTGATCTAATTAGATTGGACCAACATATTCAGTATTTCAAATTTCAATACTGTATTTTTCAATTTTTATTAGGCTTAGTTATTGGTTTAAAAGAAAATTAATTCATCATTACAGCTGGTAGAGGGTGCCATGCCACATAAAACACCTAGTTGATTTAGTGGCTGATAAAGGTTTTTATTGAGAGTAAATTGAAAATTAACATATATACATTAAAAAAGAATTTACTAATCAAAAAAATGATTGTAATTGATAAATGCTCTCTACAGATTACAAGTAACATTCTTGGCTATGCATATAATTGTAATCAAATATATAATCTAACAATTGACATTTTTTTTTAGATATTATTTTTAAATTTTGATGTTAATCAGTGTATATACGAAAAAATGAATTGCTTATAGTTATTATAATTGACTTGAAAATTACTTAGATTTTATGTCAGTACAACAATATTGAACTGAGCTTTATTTACTTTCGTTGATTATTTTTAAAATGCAAAATACATATATATTCTAACAATTGACATTTTGTAATGATTTGTTAATCAGTGTAAATACGAGAAAATGAATCGCTTATAGTTATTACTTACGTTGAAAATGACTTTTTATGTCAGTACAACAATAATGAACTTGTTGATTATTTTTTAAATGCCAAATACATTTTTAATAGTAATTATGCAGTATTTGTATTAATTTTAACACAGCAATCTTTATTTTCTTCAAGTGCTGTATATATAAATAACACATTTGATTATTTTTTAAATGCCAAATACATTTTTAATAGTAATTATGCAGTAGTTGTAGTAATTTTAACACAGCAATCTTTATTTTCTTCAAGTGCTGTATATATAAATAACACATTTGATTAAATTGAAGTAGGCGTAATCAAAAAGTCATGCCTTATGAAGGCAAAGTGGACACGAAACATGTACTGTACTTGTTAATAAAGTTTAATGAAACATATTAATTACACAACTAATCTAGGAAAAGCATGACTTGCAAACATCACAAAAGCAATTTAACTGTTAATTATAAATAAAACAATGTACACAGAAAAAAAGACCATAATCAAGGCGGTTCAATTATAAAAATATGGTAAGATTCTGTATTTAGTAATTTAGTGACTTAATTTTAGTTAAATTATACTACTGGTTAATTTTCCAGTATATTATACTGTATATGTTTTATATACATTTGTGATTTGTCTTTCTGGATCTTTACTCATGTTTTATTAAAGTCTTTCTACATTTTATTTAAGTTACATTTACTCAAGTTCGTATAATATTACCTCTATTCAAATTATGCATATTTTTATGCAGACTATATATGTCAAACTTATTTTACAGGTTTATGTCTAAAACCTTAGTCGAGATTTTATCGCATATGCATGTCATCGTATTTGGACATAAAATATATAATACTGTACTGTATATTGATGCTTTAAATGAAGATTTTAAAGATGATTCCGAGAAGTCATCACCGCACCAGTTCAAATTTTTATTAAGTAATACAATATTAGAGATTGATTAAGTAATACAATATTAGAGATTGCTAGATATAATTAATAAATGAATTACGGGAGACAGTCTATTTTATCATTATTTGTCTAATATTGAATAAAGCAAAATAGAAAGAATAGTATACCATAACAAGCACTGTTCCAATTTTCTATTGTTTGTGTAAACAGTTTTCTTACTGTAACAGCAATTTCCTTTTACAACGCATTTATGAAGTTATTTATTTATTTTATTTTTATTTATTAAGTTATTTTGTTTATTTATAAAGTTTATTGGTTCTTACACCAAATGTTAGTACCTTATGTATTTTCAAATTTTTATTTATGTGCACATTATGATCCCTAATGAAAAAAGGTAATACAGTAATAATAAGATGCAAGCAAAGATAGGCAGGTTTCAAACCAATGCCCTCGAAAACTTAATCCAATGCTGCACAACCTTGCATTACGTACCTGATTATTCTACCTATCTGATAAGTATCAGTTTCGGTGACATCACTATTCAAGATGCCGTCACCAAACCTAATTAGGGGATTCTGATCAGATGATTGATGACTGGTGCTGTCACCAGTATAGAAGTGTATCAGCATTTTATTTGTCACCGAAACTGACCACTTAGGTGGTAGAATCAGCTGCCATTATACCTGTCTCTTATACACATCTAGATGTGTATAAGAGACAGATATTGTAAACAAACACATAAATTATTTAAACTGATAAACATCTCGTTCATATCGCTATTAATCACTGTTATTAACAGGGCCATAGTTCAGAGTATTCTCCGAGAGTCTTGGTATTATCGTGATTATTTTTTATTTATAAAAAGTTGAAAAGCTGGACAATTCGGTGTTTGGGCGAGACAGCGGGACACGACTCTCAAAAGCGGGACAATCCCGCCGAAAGCGGGACAGTTGGAATCTATGTATTATTCTTATTATTATTACTATTACTATTATTATTACTATTATTATTACTATTATTATTATTATTATTATTATTAGGTCTATCATTTATTGGAAATATTTCAAATGCTAGGTTTATGGGCCTAATCAAATAATAATTTCACGAATTAAATATATGTTAAAAATACCTAAAATTATTAAAATAATGGAAATTTTGGAGTTAAAGTTTGCAAATTTTAGTAAAAATATATTATTTTAATTATTTTTATTGTCACTATGTGAACGAATACAGTATTACTATTATCATCTTTTAATGTCATAAAGTACAATTATTGGGAATAAAATATTGGTGGCTACTGTCTTTTAAAATTGCGTGCTACCCCACCTCCTTCCTTTCATAACATTTAGGAATACATATACAATAATTGTTTTGTTTGTCGTTAATACGGAAATGAGACACGCTATCAGTAAAGTCTAAAGTTGTGGTTCAGTCCATTATTGTTAGGGATACCATTTTCTTTAATACATACCAAAATGTCTGTTTTCATTGAAATGCATAGGAGTTAATTGATTTATCGATATTGTATTTACTCGAAAGTACGATTTTTAAAAATAAAAAAGTATTATTAACTCTATGAGTTATATTTAGCTTAATGTAAGCCCGATTAAAGATCATACCATTTTGTTTTGGTTAGGGAATTTCCAATATGCTAATAAGGTGGAAAAACCCACAACTTGGGTAAAACCCAGATCATGGGAGAATTTCATCGTACTACCTACTTGAGAGGAAGTAAATTCTGTTTCCTTTTAGCAAATTTCAATCGAGTTCGATAGCGAAAACCCACTTAATCTCATCAAGTTGGAAGCTTATAAGAAAACGTTTTTGTTGTCATCTTTCAAATCAAATGAGAGAAGTATCAAAACACTGAAGGCCAGCTAGCTAGCCTCTGTCTGGCTGAAGTGCGAGGTCGGAGGAGGATTTGGCAAGCGTGGTGTGATCGTCAATTTCAGGTAATAAACATTAAGCACATAGGTAACACATGTGGTTTTGCCTCCAGCTTGACTGGGTAGAGTAAGTTGGGTGCTAAGAGCATATTGCCTGTTGCCTAGGTTAGTAGTAGCTTATTTTATCGTTGTGCATTAGAGACAATACAAAACAAAGCCAAGCGTATTATAATAAAAAAGGTTTATCATGTGGTGTATTGTATTGTACCGCATAAATATAACCTCGAAGATGCCCAATGCCAATGGGCTTATTTATCTCGTGAAGAAGCCCCATCTTTAATTGAAGCCCTCTTGTTTGCAAAAGTAGCCTTGAAAAAAAAAGCCCATCTCATTGGCTTCTTTTCGAGATACAGTTCTTTATACATCCTTACACTGTGGAATTTCAAATAAACCAATCAGAATGAGACGACTTTATTCTGGAAATTCCAGATTTTAGAGAAATATGAATAATAGATAAAATATGTCTAATTAATTAATGCCAGGGAGATATCAGCCAGTGTCAGACGAGGCTTTTTACCTTGTTTCGCAAACTTGTTTTTTAAAGATTGTCAGAGGAGGGCGGGGAAACAAAATTGTTTTCTTATTAAGCAAAATGATTTTGCCAAAACCATCTAGGTGGAGGAGAAAATAAAAATAATTTTAATAATAAATTACCTTTGTATATAATGAGATTGATGGTGCTTTATTACTCCACCCTCACCTTAACTTAACCTCAACTCCAGTCTTGCAGTGTTATTGTTAAGGTTAGGTTAGGGTGGAGTACGAAAGTGCATTAGCGCCAGATTGACAAATGCTTTAAATTTATATAATAAAGGCGAAAGGATCAGAATGAAAAAAGATCTTAATTTTTGGCAATTTTGTGGAGCGGAGGGCATACAGTAATAAAAATAAATACAACATTTTATTTTTATATGAAATTTCAATTTTTTTTTGCGGATGGTTTGCTAATTGGCCAAAAGGTTTAGTCTATTCAGAATCACCATTTTTGGCAGAGGGTTTGCTATAAACAAGGTATAAAAACATGCAACTTAATTTTCTTTATTCTCTTTTAAAGTATTTTTATATATGGAAAAGATGATTATATTTATTTATTTGATTTCAATTGAGATTTAGATCCTCCATTTATGAAATTCTCTCCCTTGGCCCCTCTATTTCAAATTTCTGGGTCCACCACTTAGCCTAGTACCACCATTGCCAAATATTTGTGGTGTCAGCATTTTTTAGTCCCTCCGGTCTGTAATACTGAATACTGAAATAATTGGTCAAAGGTCATATTTATATAGCGCCTCCAACAGAAAAAAAACTGTCTCAATGTGCTTTTACTGAAAGCCACAAGAAAACAAAAATTAATTAAATGAACAGCCCGGGGAGCTCACTTGCATACCAACCAAACGGGGGTTTGCGCTACCTGTTTTACTGAAAATTCTTATGGACTTGAACTACCATATACCAAAATCGCACTGTGCTCTAAAAGACGACAGGAAAAAGGCCACTCATTTGTGCAACAGAGGGTACAATATTGACTGGTTCCCGATAGCAAAAAGTGTTCCGTCCGGTCGTCATCTCGTGGCTGGAGCAAAGGTTGGCTTAGCAAGGGGCTTACCGGCTTAGCGCCCAGTTCCAGCTAGCATCGTGCGGAAAATCGTGGCACTTTGAGACAGGATAGGGCAGGGATTTTAACTACCAATTTCACCCCGGTTATTTCCAACACTTGTGCTACAAAGACCTCGCAAGTGTACCCTATAAATGCTGCAACTACCCCCATATTTCCCACACTTGTGCTACCAAGTCCTCGAAAATATACCCTGTAAATGTGGCACCACCCCGTATAGAAATTAAAGAGTGAGCCTCCCTGGAACAGGTACAAACGCAAAGGTGGTGGTGGCCTTCCCGATTTGAGATAGCAACTACTGTGTACATAAAAATTACCTCGGTGTCAGTTTGCTGGGCTCACATAGCTTCCACCGAGGATAAGCTTACAGCTCCCGTACCATGCACTGCTAAGTTGGCGGCGCAACCTCAAGTAAGGAGGTGCGACTCAGGGTGAAAATACTTAAATACTGAAATTTTAACTAATAATTACAAATTTGCAAATTAACTAATTGAAAATTTTTTATAAAGAGCAATTTGAATCATAGAGTAAGAGAGTCCAGATTTTCCCAGTGCATCTTCTTCGCCCAGGTTCAGAGGTGTAGGCTGGTTTCATCCGAGGATGGGTTGGTGGGGGTCTGCGAAAATTAAGAATCCGGAATTGGGGGGTGCGAAAAATTGAGAATGCAGAACTAAATATCTACTAATTGTTTATGGTATAATCTCACTATAATTATTAACATCACATTTGATTTGTGTCGTCTCTTTGGGGGATTGTTTAGATAATTTAGGAGAATACTGTATGTGGCAACTGAGCCAATATATTTAAATGGAGAAAATTTTGAGTACAGTTCAGTAAAGTTAACTGACAGACATGTAAAGATCCTAGAGAATGGCATGGTACATAATTGGTCTTACAAATTATAAACTGAAGCAGTTAGTATTTATTAACTGCAGCCATGATAGTTTTTACTAACAATTCAAAGCCCATAACCATAATCTGTTTATTTTTTTATTTTTTTTTAAATTTCAATTCAAAGCCCATAACCATAATCTGTTTATTTTTTTATTTTTTTTTTAAATTTCAACCTGGAAGAGTTCAAAAGAAGTGGAGCTCTAGCAGCCACACTGGCAAGCTAGTGAGTTCAATAAACCCCCAATTTATTAATAACCACAAACACAGCATTGGTCAAATATACCAGTACCATGTGTCCTAGACAGTCCCCTGTGTATACTAAATTCCAAGTAATTATGCATTTATTAATTTACATAGGTAATAATTATACCACAGGAATGTTTTTCTTATAATTGTTAACAAGTGTTCCCTAATAATACAGTAAAGGAGCATTCCACAGTATTTGGTCTGTGAGAGTCTATTTCATGGATACTTACTTACCTGGATAACCTGACTAATTGCCATTGTTCCCAAAACGGAACACCCCTTCGAAAAAAATAGAACAGTCCGACCTAGGGTGCCATGTACAAACCGTCTCCCTAACAATCGTCCTCATTCCCTATTCCACGTTGTTTGTTGAAGGACCTCCTTTGTGCTGTAGTTGCCTAAATTGCTTTGACCATGTGTCTCAAATTGTGTTCTATTATTGATATAAATTTTGGCTAATTCTGAAAGTAGATATCAAAGTTAGTTAAAAAAACTCATTCATTTTTGTGATGGATATTTTTTAGTCAATTGATATTGAATATTAAAAATGTATATTTGGCATTACAGATGGGACATTTAAAAATGCTAAATATTTCTTGAACAGTTAATCTGATAACATTTTTGTGTAACATTTGAGGAGGTTTCTTTACACTGTAAAGTCATGCTATGAAAAACTTAGTATTCAATTTCCTCCTACTATAGACGATGTTTTATCAACCCATTTATTTTGTGTTTAACCTACTAAAATATAATACTGTATTTCGAAAATAAATTGTTACAGACGAGACAGTTTTGTTACAGGCAGGACACCTCAGAATACCATAATAAAAGTTTTTTTGCTCTGCATTTGGGTAAAGAAAGGCAGTGAAGCAAGTAAAATTGCTTGCATTTGATTTTAGTGTATAGACTACTATTACTCAATAAACAATGAAAAAACAAAAATGAACAGTACAGGAACAAATATAAAGTTTTTTACAAAGTTTCTATAATGTTATGAACACTCGGTTATTAAAATGTTTTAGTTTCATGTTTTAGTTTCAGTGTACAATTTGTTAAGTGTAGATGCAATAGTTAAAGAAAGAAACGACAACTTTGTTCTGACAGATTATATTAATGATAAAGCTTTTTATAAGTTTTTTTATATCCTTAAATATTAGTTAAAAAGTAAAACACAAAATTACTACACAAAATATGATGCTCATTTATTTGCATGTTGTTTTATGTGTCATTAAATTTTTAGTTTAAAGTCTACATAAATATAATGTAAATTAATAATTTGTAAATGAAGTTTTTATGATGATGTAATATTTTTAGAACATTATTTATTTTGTGCTTGAAAGATTGATTTATATTTAGAATTGAAAATTAAATGTTGTATTGATGTCAGATAATAATTTTTATCCCTTTTTATATTGGTATCAAAGGGTATTCATAAATTGAAAAATTTGTGAACTAGATTATTAAGTGTCTACAGTATTTGTGTACCATTGTATTTTGTCAATGTTTGCATGCCTTTTTACAAGGCGAAATGAATGATCAAAGACAGTCGATATGCCTGGCTGTTACATAATTTGATGGGTAAAGTAATGAGGGTTGATGCTGAATATGCCGTGCATGGGAATTGGGTTATTCAATCAGAGGCAAGTCGTAAAATGGATTTTTTACTGTATTAACATTTCATGTGTCTTCTAGCTAGCTAAGAGACACCTCAACAGAAATTGTTCTCATCTCCAGTTAGTATATATATGTAGAAATGACTTCTACAGTAAACTTCACCAAGGCTATGTTTTTCATACTTTTCAATATTATATTCTACTTAACAGAATAGCACCAAACAGTACACGAAAGAATTATAGCTATAATCCATGACTGTACACCTTGATTAGGCAACCATCATCAATTTTAATCAGCTAAGATAACATTAACATTTGTTTTTCTTCTAATACTTTATTGGGTGCATACAATAGTATGTTGGAGGGTGGGGTGGGAAGGGTGTCCTCAAGTAGCTGTTGAGAACAGTTATGTTAATGCTGATTGTGGAGTATCAAAGTGTGTTTTTCAGGTCTGAAATGAAAATTACTTAACATAAACATGCTATGTTTTTTTTTTTTTTAGTATATCAATGCCCATACAACATGGCTCCATGGAATAAAAATAACTGTATAAAAAAAGGTTGTCAGAGGAAGACAAAAAATAAGAAGCAGAAATATTGTGACCAGTGTTTTCAAGAGTTAAAGACACAAGGAGCTCGTAAAGATGAAAACAAAGAAGAGGTTAAATGCCTAGGATGCAATAAGCAAATCCCAATAGTATCTAAGTTCTGCAACCACTGTGGACAACGTGTTGGTAGTCAGCACAATGATCCAGCATTTTCAGGTACTGTATGTAAGCCATTTTAAAAATGTATGTATTTATTGTATTTCCTTTTATTTATTTATAGATACTGTGATTGATGGAATTCATGTACTCTTGTATCATATTCGGCAAAAAAATTCTAAATGTAACAATTTTTTGTAAATTTATGAATTCTCTAAACTAGACGCACTGTTCCCGAAATGCCCTGTGGCAAGAATTTGTAGTTCTAAAGTTATACCGATTTATATAGCGCGAGGTTAGCAGTTACTGTTTTGAAGAAACGGCGATAAAACTGATGTTTATAACGCCCAGTCGCTGGCAGTGCGCTCAGCGTGTAGCTCACTCACATCTGTTTTGTCTGTTCGATACTTCCTTAACAACGGAGGTGTTACCATTGACCGATTGAAATGAAATTTCGCTGAAACATTTTACATAATGTATTTTATAACTGTACCAAGTTTCATGTACTTACATTCAATAATACATGTGATATTACGGATTCAAATGTGATGGTCGTTGTTACTGTAAACAACCAGAAATCGAACACTGCGACCTTGAAACCAGTGCGTTAAATTATTACAGAACGCGTTTTATTCGTCGTCAACTTTATCAAGTCTGTGTTATACAGTATAGCCCATTTTGCATGTACCTGTCTACCGAACTTTCTTTTTCTTGTGTAAAAGGAACAGTGTTATTGTTTTATAATTATTACATGTTCATATAGCATTAAAATGGTAAGGAATAAAACAGCAGTAAACAAGTAACTTCGAACTTCGATGAAAACATGTAACGCGCACTACTACCTTGCCGACGCTTCCATCGAAAACCCAAGCGACGCGGTCTTAGACACGCCCCAAAAATAGTCAGCTGACTGGATTAGACCAATCAGCATGCGTGTTTCCGTTTGTTGCTAGGCCGCTTCCGAATTGTTTACAGTAACAAAACGACTGTTTTGATTGGTTAAACAATTTGTGAGGATGAACTGACCAATCAAAATTGTAACTGACATTCTAAGCTTTCCAACGATATCCAACTTGACACGAGTTTGACCCCGGAACACGATTGAAAAAACAGTAATTTAGTGAATATTTTAAACGATGATTTGCCTTCGTTTTTCATACTTCCGGGTTCGAGTATCTAACTAAAATCACGTTTTACAGTATTTTTGGTACTTGAATGTGAAAAATATTATTTGAATCCTATTCTTAGATACTTAATATGCATGTTTTTAATGAAACACCAAAATGAGCAAATTTGACCTTTGAAAAACTTCAGCTACCCGTATTTCTCGACTAAGACGTCAGTGGGAGCTGTAATTTGTATGGCAAGGAGATTGTGCAACCCTTAATTCGTTTTAAGGGAATTTACGCCTAGAACCTTGTAGTTATTAATATTTTGGTTATAATAGAAAATATCCATTTTCATTCATTCAATGTAGTTAGCATGCATACGTCATAAGCTAGATAACGTCACCTTTTCCTGGTAAGGCAAACTTTCCCAGTGTGCTTTTTTCATGGATAAACAAACACCACTGCTTTGCATATGGATGCCTTGCCTAGCTAGGGCTACAAGAGCCGCATTGTTAGCATTTTATAATACTTAAACTAGAAATTGCAAGTGAAGTGCTGCGAAGTAAAACTGCATAAAATCTTCTTCGAACAAAATTATATATGCGAGTCAAGTGAAAATAATGAATAATAAAAATATAACAAATAATATAAGACACGACCCATTGTCTATATTAGAACAGCGTTGGTACCGTCAGGTACCGTGTACAATAGTGTTTTGCTGCAGTGACATCTCGCTGCTGGCGACTCGCTGCTGCTGGCGATGACTCGCTGCTAGCGAATCGATCTGCGCATGTGTATGAAATGGTATTTATTTCCGAAAACAGTATGCCAGTCTACAACAAGCGTCGCCTAAATGTAATAATTAGCACGTTGAAATAGGCTAGTAAATAAGTTTAACTGGGTTCGTAAATAATATTGGCCTCAAAATATTGTGGCTGAGACATGAGCCGATTAAACGTAGAAATAGGAAACCTAGAAATATAGTAAAAACACTGAATAGTACTCCAGAGTCGCGACATGCGGACGTTGGTACGAGTAAATTAGTCTACAAACGTCGCCTAAAGTAATTGATTTTACCAGGCAGAACGAAAGAAGGAAACTCCGATTTTCAGTTGTCTTAGGCGCAGGTTTTTTGACAAACAATGACCTTTCAGAGGTCAAATTGCTGTCAAGAATATGAATTGGCTGCTTCGCAGCAACAAGGTACCTCTGCAACTGAATTACTCTTAGTTATTTGTTTTTTTCTGATTTTAATTTATTTCTTTCGAAAGTGTACTTTCTATCACATATAATTGCACTGCCTAGTTAGGCCTGGGCCTAGGCCTTGTGTTATTGTTATGCCTCATCGTCCCCCTAGGCAGTACATCAGTAGCCCCCCCCCCCATACAGTACAGACGTTTGCTAGGCAACAGAACGTGATTGCACCTGCCTTCCCAGGTGTAATTACATTGGCATATTGTTAGCTAACCAGTTGTGTGTGTTTCTTTGTGAAAATGAGTACCGCGGCGTACTCATTTTCACAAAGCATTTGCATTTCCTCTTGGAAAGAGGGAACTTCGAAATAATTGTCTCCATATCTTCGCTAATTAAATTAATCACCGTAATTTAGCTTACACTATAAATGCAGGGAGCACTTAAAATGTACAATAATCATTTCACTACCCGACAAACCCCGATCTTTATTCATGCATTAGGCCTATATAATAGTTTCATCTTGCTGTACTGTGACTCCAACATCACTGGCGCATGGTAACAACCAACTGACTGCAGACCATTTCCATCACACATTACTCTCCATATAACACAGCACCCCCTAGTTCCGTCACCTCTGGATTATTGTTTAGTATCAATTATCTAGCACAAGTGACAAGACATTGTTCTAACTTGTGTATGGAAATTATAAAACCTACCTGTCTACCGTAAAACCTCGAATATAAGCACAAGTTGGCTTATTGTTGAAAAGAAGCCCATCTCAAATTTCTTTAGTTTGCAAAAGTAACTTGGAAAAGAAGCTGACACTGAACATGAATTTCAAACAATCAAAATAAATTTTTGGTTTACATGATTTATGCTAAATACGTTATTAAATACACTTCATGATACAGACTGATGGTACAGTGGCCCTATTTATTGTTTTATAGTAGTTATTAACATAATTTATAGCATACGGTTTAAAAAGAAGCCCCACCATCCCCCCCCCCCAACTTATTTACTTTATTATCTTGAAAAGAAGCCCATCCAAAAGTCGCAAAAAATAGAAACCTAGGACTTCTATTTGAGGTTTTAAGGTACAAGACTCTTAATGAGTTTATATAATGTCACACTTTTAATCTTTGAGAATAATTTTTTAAGTTAAATAGAAATATAGATTCCTTATTATTCCTAATTTAATATCTAGTTTTTGAATTCTCATTTCCTCATGCATTGACTTTATTTTGAGTTTGTTTTATAGTTTTACAAAGTTGTTGGTCTACAGGTGTTATACTGTAATAAATTACCCTTTCTTTCATGCAGAAGGACCAGTGTCACAGATTAAAAAGCCTCCTGAAGCAGATGTTGCTGCTTTAAACAAAGAAAAATTATCATCACAGCCCCAAGGGGGACACAATTCATCTTCAGCTACACAACCCGGACAAGGAACTTCTGGTGACCAACAAACAGTACTTCGTAACTCAATGATAAATGTAAATGTAGGAGCAAATGGAAGAAGTATTTCATCGTCAATTAGTGAAGAGTCTAAAAAGAACAATGTTGCAGGGCAATCAGTTTCCGAGAAAAATAGAGAAGTGGACAAAGACGATGACACTATACAATATGACAGTCCTGAGTACATGGACAAATATGGCAAGGAAAAGGAAGTACAAGTATGTACAGAAGCAACGATCATACTCAAAAGAGAATTGGATATTATCAATACTTTGCATCTAAAAAGTGGATATGAAGGAGGTGGAGACTCTGGTGCATCACTGACAATGGTCCATCAGAAAGAGTCACTTAACCGTACCAAACAGCCATACACTGGCAATGGTGGAAGTGGAGATTCTGCAAAATCTGGCAGTGATGCGCAACGAAGTGAGTTTAGAGAAAATTCTGCAACATCTAGACACACATCTTCTGAAAACATACCTACACCACCAACAGAGACAAAAGCAAAACCTGTTTTTGGCAATACTAATATGCCCATGTCTGGACCTGGTGTTGGATATCAACTCAGATCAAGAGGAACTGTTACAGATGATCATCCCCTTGCAAATACAAACAGTGATGAACATTCTCCAGAAGTGCAGGATCCTGAAGGTTCATCAGTAGATATAGTAAGAAATCATTGTCTTTTATTTTATTGTCAGTTAATGTTTCAATAGGTATCCCAATGAGAAAATTCAATTTAATTTTTTTGAATTTTGTAAACATTAGATCTACAGAACTCACTGCACTGATCATTTTCCAGTTCAAATTATTATAATCCAATACACCGTTCAAAAGTTATGGCCCTTTAAAGATGGTGAAAAAGGAGGCCCGAATGCGAAAGTGGGTCCTTTTTCCAGACTGATTTTGGAGCATTTTTGGAGGGCCATAACTTTAAAGTAGTGACATAAAATGTTTAATTTTCACAAAACCTCAAAATCTTGGACGCGATCGCCAAATTATTCCAAACGACAAATCAGTGTTCAGACGCGTTTTCTATTGTTCTACCAAAACGCGTCTGAAAACACTGTTTGAATAGCACATCGTTTGGACGCTTATATTCCGTTTTGGCCTATGCTCCTCTCCTTTAACTGGCCAATTGGATCACCGCAAAATGCGTCCAGACAACTCTCTAAAATGAATCATAATACGACTGACTGTGCGGCCCTATACCCAAGTACAGACTTGTTTACCTGCTAACAAACGTCTCTTTGTATGCCGCCTGTGTGTGCAAGAACTGACGTAAGTCCCTGGTCGGTGCTAAAAAATAGTCGGTTGGGTACTGGGACATCGTTCTGTAGGCCTAGTACTGTGAGACTATCGTAATATCAGTGATTTTACGAATCGATGAACAAATATAACGTTAAAGAATCCGATTTTTTTTAGTTACTTCCAATGTAGTCGCAGCGTGAGTCGCAGGCCACCATTAGTTTTAAGAAGCGCGATCACCATAGTGAAGCTGTGGTAACATCCAGTACAGCAACTGCTCTTCTTGCCATTGAAAGGGATCACGTGCTAAGACCCATGCCTTCGAAAACGTTGTCCATGATCAAATAGATGAAATTTTGCATTATACTACTTAAGCTAAATTATATTTGCATTTTATAAAACAACGTTCATTAATTGAATTTCCGTGAATTTTTCGTGCAAAACACTTTTTTTTTCCATAAAAACATGTAAGGCTAAACCATTGCCTACCCAGTAAAAGCTTTACTGACAACTTGCAATATTACTGTAATTTATTTATTTATTTATTCAACTGAACATACACTTTTGTTTCAGCGGCACACACAATTTTGGTGCGTTCAATGTATAAAAGAGAGAAAGAAAAACAACTAAAAATAAGTAATTGTCAAAAAAAAAATGTTATACTCCGTATCGCCCAGTACTCTACTTGTTTACACACATGGTTCTGGACCCCGCTCTTTCCACCCAAGGCTCGAGATCGCTGCAGTCAGTGAGCCACATGTATGTATAAGAAAGAATAGGATCTGCATAACACCATTTATTTGAAACGCCAGTATTTTTACGCACTCAAGTGGGCCAGTTGACCGGGCTGTTACTACAGTAGTAAACAATAGAAAATCGTTCAAACGATTCGCCGTTGTCCAGACGCAAGCCGTAATTCAAGCGTGTAGCAAATGAATATAGCAGGATAATTAGAATGGTTAATTTCTCAAACGCGTTCGTGGATAGGGTGTTGACCTGGACGCGTTTTTGCCGTCTGGGATAATTTGGCGATCGCACCTTATGGAGTTGTACTGTATGTGTCTATTTTTTCTGGGTCATGCTTTAATGTAGTTTTTTGATTAAATGGCCCTAAGTATGGTCGGTTGCTATTTTGTGCCGATTTTTTGCGCCTGTCTCAAAAATGGAAAAATCGAACTATTTCAACAGCCTTTGAAAACGTTATCTCAAAAAAGGTATGTGCTCCGATTATACAGTAAATTTGACAAAGTAGAAAAAAATGTCAGATTCTAATATTATTATTTAAAATATAAAGGTAATTTAACTAAAATTCGACCGTAGTTTAACTGGTTTAAGAATTAATGAAGATGAGAGAAGAGACCCCATATAGCGTAGGCCACGCTAGGCCTCCGTTATTCTGTTGAGCGCTTTTCGCGATCACACTAGGCCAGCTAAAAAGATGCATCAACATTTTATCAGTCTCTACAGATCATAGCCTCGAAGGTACATGGACAATAATCATAAACCTACGTAAAATGCTAAGGTAAATTGGTGTTACATATGCTGGCCTAAATATTAAGTCGAGTCTCTGGCCTGTCTATATTTATTATCTCGCAAGCGCACAACAGTCTTATACACATCTAGGTGTGTATAAGAGACAGAAACTACAGTGAGAACATTTCTTTTTTATATTATTTACATACCATACTTTTTGAATGTAAACTTTTCAAATAGTGCTTTGTTTTCATCCACTCAATTCAAATTTTATGTAAATACAGTATAAATACAATATTCAAATTATTAGGTGATATGCTACTCTAGCAATCACATATTGTTTTCTTCTTTACTTATTTCTTCTTTATTATTCTTTCTCCCCTGTTGTTGTTCGCAGCTTTTCTGAAAAACAACACAGGCTCTATCCTTGTTACTTGACCATCATATAGATTTACATTTATATTGCAGATGACTTTTTCTGTGTGCCATTTTTAAAGTTTTATGATTGATCATAAATTCCTAACCAACAGGCATTTTTCAATGAAAGTTGTAACAAGTATACTTCATATCATCGTTGTCGTCATGTCTGTGAGCATCATGATGTGTGTGTACGTGTACGTTAAAATTTCTCAAAATGCTCAAAAACACTTTTTGAAAAAAATTATAGTATGTGCCATTTTGAGCATTTCAAATTTTGTTGTGCTGTTTTTACATGCACAGCACATAGATATAAAACTATAAGTTACTTGTTTTTTTTACTTTTTTTTGTTTGTTTTCTGATGCTGTATTCACAAATAAACATTTTTTCAGTTGTTTTACAGTATGCAATAACAATGAGAAGCATAAAGTAGGGGCTGGAGGCCCCAGGGCAGGGAATCTTTTTTAGGCCGCTGGCTGCGAAGGGCCCCAATGGGGTTTTGAGGGACACTCCATGACGTATTTTAATGCCTTTTTTACACATTCAAATTCTAAGTTCATGTATCGTGATTTGACCCCAAGATAGCATACTTAATTTTAACTAAAATATCACTTATATACATGTTACAATAAATATCAAACAAAACGAATCAATTAAAATCAAAATGTCCCAATCACTCGTCAGATTTTGGCTTGGAAAAGGGCCTTGGTTATTTGTATGTAAATAAAAAATATTTGAATTATCTAAGGCCCCTCTCTTGAGGCTCAGGAGTCCCTGGCTTTAGAAAGTGAGAGCTCATAGCTGTTATGCCACTGATAACAATGCTGTACACGTGCATTAACCATACAAATCTTTGCACGCGTTTGTGTTGACATACAGTGAAAATATGCCAAAAATCATGCCTGTCTGTAATGAGTTTAGTTTGCACAGTGACCCCCAATTTTTATTACATGTTCTGAAAGCACATGAGTTGTAGGTATGATTTTCATCTGAATAAAAAAAAATTGAATTTTTTTCTATGACATCATAATTTTTATACTCATTTGAGCATATCTCACATATTCTTGAATGAGTGTCTCCCAAGTTTCAGTATATTATAGCTGATACAATTTTCTTTCATAATTGTGCCCTCCATTTTCATATTTGATGACGTCATCATTGTCAAAATTAATGGTTTTTTTTTCCCCACCCCCCTTATTTTCTTCCCTCAAATCATTTTGAAATTCTATAATTTATCATAAATCCCTCGTCAGGGGCAACAGACTGATTTAGGACACAGACACGAGAGTATACTTCATATCAAGGGTCAAGTTAATGTGCCATTAACTCCTGCACGCACTTCCTGACGTAGGCATACATGTGTGTTAATTTCTAAAATTCTCAAGATTATTTTTTTACCAATTTAAAGCACATTTCAGGCCATTTTGGGCATTTCAAAATTTTCTCGCTGTGGAAATCTATGGATCCTGCGTATCACCTAAAATTTGTTGATAACAAATTTAAATCTAATTATTATTATTATTCTTATTATTGTTATTGTTATTGAATACACAGGTTTTTAAAATATGAGTTCATTAAAAGAGTAATGTAAAGATCAGTCAAAGAAAGCGATAGAATGTAGCTTTTTACACACAGTAATTCGAATTTTTCTAATTAGCAACCTCAATGATAGGTGTAACTATATGGTATTGACCTACAATAATTAATATATTTTTAATATAAAAATTAACTTTAATTATGCAAACTTCAAATGTTTGATTTAGAATTTCAATGATGAAAGGAGAGGTGATGATATATACAGGAAAGCTGATGTGAACAAAAACTCTACTCAGCAACCGCAGTAAGTTATATTAAATATTACAATTTTTATATTATTCAGCTTTGACTTATTTTTAGAAATGAGCCACAAGCTTACTCTTGAAGTGTAAGTGTAAACATTTTTTTTAATGCATTCTATTAATAACTTTTAAATGTCTAAAAGAAATGGCCCCATCTTATTTATGTAATACATTTATATTTAATAACGATAATCACACTCAATGTACTGGGAACAAGTCTAATAACAACTTGATTGAACAAAAATGGAATCGGGTACTACTGTAGGCAGACGGACAGTTTTATATCGTGCAACTAAAGCATGGAACAGCCTTCCAAATGAAATTTAAGAGATATTTAATGAACTTTCTATACAGTCTTTTATAAATCATTTAAACGATATAATTTAACACTTTAATAACACTCTTTTAGACAAAATATTGAATCAAAGTTTAACAGATAATCTTTTTGCCTTTTTTCCTTTTCAATTTTTAAAATTTAGTAAGTTTTAAGTAATACTGTAATAGCTGAACTCCAGTGGTGAATTTCTTCTTACACTCTGCACAGAACACCAACTTGCCATCACTAATACATTCTTTAACCACAAACCAGCACATAAAAACTCATGGATGCACCCGAGAAGCAAACACTGGCGCCTTATTGATTACATCATCATCCGTCAGCGTGATCTGGTTGACATCTTAGACACTAGAGCAATGAGAGGAGCCAACTGCAGCACTGACCACATCATGATCAGACCAATCACTAAATTTAAAGTAAGGAGAAAGATGATGAGAGGCAAAAAATCAAACTACAAACTTAATATCAGCAGAATTAAAGACAGACAAGTGCAAGAAAATCTAGAGAAGACGCTCACTGAAAGGCTTGATACCATACCACCAGGTGATGCGGAGAACAAATGGCAGGCATTCAAAGAGGTGGTGTGCAATGCATCTGAAGAACACCTTGGCATTGCAACCAAAAAACAGGAGGACTGGTTTGATGAGAACAGTGCGGAACTTGTCCAAGTGCTGGATGACAGGAATCAAGCCAGAACCAACATGCTCAACAGGAACACCTGATCTAATAAGGCTAAATTCAAAACTCACAGTAAACTCCTACAAAATCGATGCAGAAAACTGAAGAATGAATGGTGGATGGCCAAAGCTGCAGAGCTTCAAGTTCTTGCTGACACTAATGACATAGAGGCTTCTACCAAAGTATGAATGCGGTCTGGGGCCCCAGTGTGAGTCACTCTGATCAACTGCTTGCCATTGACAACACAACACTGCTCACAGAGAAACAAGATCTTCTCA